ATTTATATTCTTCAATTTAATGAGATTACCAGAATTTTTATGGTATGAAGAGCTGTATTTTTGAAAGAGTTAAAATTTTTTGCTAAGGCTTTTGCTAATTTATGAGGAGCAATACTTTCTCAGAAATTATTGTACCAAAACAATCTTGTATATGTAAACCTTATAAATAAAAACTACTAAGTTGAAACTAGTTGGTTAATATCTCTAATGATAGTTATTCAAAAACAAGCATTCAGTTGATTAACATGAATGAATTTTTGTCATGTGAATGTAAATTTTCTTATGAAATAAAATTCTTTTCTAATTATTTTAGTTCATCAGTGGGACATGTCAAATGAGTTTTCAAAATTGTCTTGTATATTTACCATTTTGCCAGATTCTTAATCCAACTTCACTCCTTAATGAGTCTATAAATTGTCATCATAACACTTGTACTGTGAAAAAAATATTCACTATTCTTTGACAATATTGTGAGCATTCATATGGAAGGCCATAGCAACTAAGGTAATATTGGATTAGTTTTATATTGGACAATTTTTGATGTGGTGATGATAGTAATCATTACTTAATTTCTCATTACAGCTATAAAATTTCTCAAGGTAATCCATATACAGGTTCCAATACAAAAATACCTTTTGAATATGTATTATAACTAACGGGATTATCCATTATCTTGGACTTCTGTTCTCTCATTTTTGCTTGTATCCTATGTTCTCCTTTATCCTTTCTAATCTTTGTTTCTTGTCCTTGTTTTTATCTAAATGTTTAGTGTTATTTATGAAAACAATAAGGATGCACAAATATTTTACTAAACCGACTTTCAGCGTTTTCATTCTCTCTTTATAAAGAAATTTCAATTTAGACTGTAAGAATTAATTTTAAGTTTTGTCAAATTCAATTGACAAGATCTGTCTGGTTTAATTCCACTATATTCTTGTGTGTGTGTGTATGTATATATATATATATATAATATGAGGTAAAAGTTTGAAAAGATTTATATATCACTTTTTACCTGTTTCTTTTTATTTATTTTTATACATGCCTACCACTTTTCGTCCTTCACATTCATTTATTTTTTTTTATCCCTCCTCCTCCTTCTCATTTTCTTGTTTAATATTATGTAGCTTTCTTGATCAGAAAAGCGTAACTGATTCTGGCGCAGATGGACTGGGCATCATTGTAGATAATGTATTAGTAGTTTGGTGAGCAATCACACATGATAGCAATTTTCATTTTAGAGATAGACTTGTATGAGAGTGTGCTAAAAAGTTCTCTGCATAACCCACTTTTGAAGATATGACCAAGCATCAGAATTTTTTAATTTTTTTCAATCTTAGTTTGGTCAGACCAAGAACTTTTAAGCACCTCCTGTGTGTTTGTGCGTGTGCGCACACACAATTATGAGAAAGAAGACTTATGTTACATCTGCTCCATACTGTGTGTAAGTGGCATGTCTGTTATCAATATGATTGTTGATGAGAATTGAGGAGCCTTTATTTTTCAAGTGTCTGTCAACTGTTTACAGTTTGTATCTAATTGCAATGATTTTTTAAACTGTTAATTGCAGCAAAAATTCCTGTCACTTGTAGCTGAACAATAAAACTGCAGTGACAGGTATTAATGGATTAATAAGAGTCAAATTATGATCTATACAGAACACTTTCATTGGGGGAATGACACTTTCCCATTTTGTGCATACACAGATAAATTTAGTATTATTTTTTGTTTTTAAATAAATAAATTTTTGTTTTTAAATAATTAAATAAAATAGTCTGAAATTTTGGGATGGTGTCATGACTATCCTATTTAAATAAATTTCAACATATAATTTTTTTTTAGCTTTGATTAGATAAAGTATGATTCCCATTAAACAACAGCTTTGAATTTTCTATTGGATATAATTCATTTAAAAGTAGACCTTATGCATATAAAAGGAGTATAAAAGTAATATTAAAGAATAAAATTATAAACTTGCAAAAATAACATTTTAAGCATCTTTGTTTTTCTTTGAAAAGTGTAAAGATTAATGTCAAGATTATTGGTCACAAATTTGATTTTCTATGCTTTCATCAAGTACTTTAAACTATACAGACATTTTAAACATGGTCTCTTATCACATTGCATGAAAATAGTGAAGCATCCTTTACTCAAATGATAAGAACACATTAATTGAAATTCACTTAGAAGCCAATCTATCTGAAATCTGTAATATTTCCTCCAGAAATTTTTTTTTTTTTTTTTTTTTTTACCAGTATATCCAATCCTCTGCTTTCATATGCAGAAATAATTGCTGTTGGTTAGAAGCATGTATATCATGTCATATTATGGCTGGCTATCAATTTAAAGATTAACCCCCCCCCCCTTCATACTCTGTCTTCTAATAAGCTGAATTTACTGCTAAAAAAATTCAGTCTCCATAGCATGGCACACCCACAGTACTTAGAATTTTCTAAGAAAAAAAATGTTACTTTACTTGGCCTGTATGAGTCATATTTCTTAAAGTTCAATTTGTAGTAATGAGTTGAAAAAGATTTTTTCTCTATCAGTTCCTGAAGAATTTTTTTTAACATTAATTTATTTTTGCTTGAAAGCAGACATGTAAATTTAGTTGTGATTATTTGCTTTTTCTTAATGTCACCTAGTATGTGATTTTTTTTTTATTTTTTTTTTTTTTGAGTAGTCTTTTTTATAAATTTACTTTAGTGTTAATGGATACATGACCTTATTGCATATTTACATAGTTCATGATTAAAATATGATAAATTTTTAACCTCCCCCTTCGAAAGACTTTGGAAGAAAGATTTTAAGCTTTATTTAGATATTAAATTTTTATGGAAAAATGTCTGTTTAATCTAGCCTTTAAATATACTGCTAAAAGAACATTGTAATAAAACTAGTTATTTAAAAATATCTTGGAAATCTTATTTTATTTTTAGTGTTGTATTTGGTTGGTGATTCATAAGGATTTCCATCTTTTTGTTGAAGGTTTCTAAAAAGAAAATAAAAAAATTATGGAATTTCTATGAAAGGAATTTTTTGTTTAATACTAGCTAATGAGATTAAAAGAAATTTTACATGAGATTTAAATTTGGACAGATTCTTTTTTGGGAGGTGCCATTTAATGTAAAAATTTTAGTGAAATCAATAAATATATAAGCTCTCAATTGTATTTATTTTTTTTTTTAAGTTTTCTACCTTCTAAATGCATTATCCTCAGGATTCATATAAAAGGACAGAAAGAATAGAGAAAGTTTACTGATTTTTGAAACAATATTTAATTCAATCATTTCAGAGGAATATCATCAATTACTAAATATACTCTTTGAAAATGAGTTTTTTTTTTTTTTTTTTTAAATTTGAGTTGGTTTTTATGCAATTTTTGTAATACATAACTGAAAAAATAAAACCCAATTTAAAAAAAAAAAAAAAAAAAATTTAAGAGGCTAATATAAAAACAGTTAATCGTTCGGTTATATTATCTGATTTCTGTTTGCTACAATCAACAAATTTAATTGTTTTTTGCCAAGTGGTGACTTTTTATTTTCTTATTTTGAAAATGGAGAAATGAGACAAGAAAATACTTTTATCCTTTTTTTTTTTTTTCCCCCCTATAATTTATTAAATCTTTTGGAATATGAAACATTTCTGCATCTAAAATTTTAGTCGTAGGCTATAAAACCTGATCTAATACATGCTCTATGAAAATAGTGCATGGTTTCATAGGTAAATACCTCGATAGAACTTTTGTTACTTTTCTTTAACAGCTTGACCCACAATTCATATTGGATCCTTAATTTTTAAATAAGAAATAAAAGCCAGTTAAAATATGGCTTTTGTAAAATGGATTTAACTAATGATCTTGAATTTTTATTTTATTTATTTATTTATTTATTTTTTTTAAATAATAATGTTCACCCTGTACAAGGCTCAAGAGGCACTTGAGGTAGAAGGTTACAGAGTAAGTGACACAGTTTATGGGGATATTGTGAGAAAGATACTGGCTAACCCTAGACTTGAACAGCTTAAGATTTGTAGTGATCATGGAGGCATCCTCTTGGGAGTTGATTCCACAAAGCAGTTGTGGGAAGAAGCTACTCAAGTGGAACTTATATCTCACCAATGGAATACAAAGGATCCTTTCTAAGCACAATTTGATGTGTGCTCCTTGCAACATTTTTTCAGTTACAAATATCTTTCCTTGGTCTTAGAAAAATATTAAGATAAAATTTTACAGACAATTACCACTAATTTGAAATCGGAATAACAACACGTTTTCATCTGTTTTTAGCATTTTATCATAAACTTTTAAATGGAGTGTTTCACCCAAATTCCAGTTTGTCTCCTATATGATGTTAAAGGAAAGGACAGGTGATAACTGAATCTTCCTATCTTCTTGTATTTAAATTATGGGTATAACTAATAAGGAGCAATATTTATTGTAACTGGCACTTTAAAAAATCCACTATTATTATGATATATTAACATATTGTAACATCTTTCATCTCCTGATTATAATGCTTGTAGATAAAGTTGTAAAGTGCTAAGGGTGAGCATATATGAAGATTCAAATGCAAAAAGTGGTAATTTTTCTTTGTAAATTTTCTAGAGAGCTCAAGAGTTACTTGTATTATGAATGTAACTCTTTAAAACTTTTATTCCCAACACTTAACCTTATTTCAGGTTTGTTTTCATTGACTACTGTTTTACATAAACTATTTCACTTGTATTTAAGTTTAATATTAATGTCTTTTATAATTAGGTGCAAACTTTAACTGACAATTCTGTTGAATTAGAAAAGAAAAATTGTGTGTGTGGTTATGTTAAATTGTTTGAAGTTTGGTATTTGACTTCACTTCCTAAGTTTTCTCTGAACAAGTATTGTAGATAAATTCACTACTGATTTTTATGAATATAAATGCTTTACATTTCACTGCCCTTTTATTTCAGCTGTGTGTAATCTTTGAAAATATTAACAGTGAACTTCTTTTTCTCTTTTGCAGTAAAGTTATTTGAAGTTATTGAAACTGAAAAAACATTATACTTGGTGATGGAATATGCCAGTGGAGGTAAGTAATTTTTCAATTATGTAACCTACATTTATTGCTCTTGTTGTAAATAAGTATCGATTTGTAAGTCTGGTTTATTTGTATTGCAAAAGCCACTGAACCTATCATCTGAGGGTCATTTTTGCAGTTTATCTGTCTATAAGATGGCAGCCTTTTGCCTATCTTTGTGTTTTTCCTCTTTGCCTAAATTTAGTTGATTAGTCATAAATGAAAATATATGCAGCTTAAATCATCTGCTAATTAAAACTTTAGTTGCAAGTGCGTATGTGTGCACACACAGTTGCAAATGTTACTGTAGATATTTTTCAACCAATAGAAACCTTTCTTTTTAAGCTCCCTGTTTGATTTATATATTTCTGGTCTAGATATCTCTTAAGTATTACAAATTGATAGTTTTCAAAAACAATTTATTGGTCAATTATAAACATTTCATATTTTCTGTTTTAATTTTTGAATTTTGAATTTAAGCCTTCATTTTTTTTTCTCTCTCTCTCAATAGCAAATATTGAAATTAGAAATATATTTTCATTTGTCTCAAATGAAATAAATGAATATAAAATCCTGATATTTTACATAAAACTGTTCCTGCTCAAGAAAAGATTGATGATGCACTTTGTTATGTGAAACTTTTTTTCTTAAATAAATTGGAGTTGAAATTGTAGTTTTTTATTATTCACATTCATTTGCTAAAACTCTTCTATAGAATGCCACTGAAAAAGATATTGATTTTAATTTTATAGGGTCGGTACTTGCAACAAAACAATTTTCAGTGAAGTAGAGGAGTTCACTCTCATTAAATTCCAATTGTCTTTTTCATTCTATTGTCTAGTTAACTATCAGGAATCTTTAGGTTTGTTAGAGAAAATTTCTGTGAGAAAAATTATCTAAACCAGAATTCAACTTCAGTAATTTTAATCCATATGACTTTTATTTTGAAAATTAGTAGTAAAAAAAATTTTGATGGGCAAACCTCTGTTACCTTGGCTTTATAAAATAATTCTTTTATAATTTTGTTGTGATATAATAGCATATGTTTGCTTTACACTTCAGTTTATTCAGAATGATCTTGCATTGATTGGAACATCACAACTGTCTTGTCTAAATTGGAACAATCAGAAGTTTAGAGAATTAGAACTTAATTTAAGAATTTGTTGATATGAATATTTTTATACTGTTTGAAACTTTTAATTAGGAACGTCATGTACTTAATTTTTTTAGTGTAGAAACAAAAATTAGTGCATTATGAGAACATATTTTTTTGTAATCAAATATTTGTATAAAAATACTAAGTTGCTTCAGTTTTGTTTCTTTTTCTTTATTTTTAAATTATTATTTTCTTTGAATATTCTGATGTTTTTAATTTCTTTATTACAAACAATTCAGAAGTTGTTTCTGATATTTTAATTTTAAAAAGAATGCTTAAGCATTTGTATTTCTTTGTCAGAATAATTTAATTAAACACAGGAAATTGGCAATTTATGTTAAGGCTATAAACAATTTTTTTTTCATTTTCTGTGAAGATCTTGTGTTTCTTTTTGTTTTTTTGTGGCTAATAAAAACATTTTAATCTTTAATAAATGTACTATTGTAGTTTATTATATATGGATTCATTCTAACTAGTATCTTCATCTTTATTTTGGCCATTGTACCTTCTAGCCTTCAGGTATCTAGTAACCTGCCAAGAATTTAAAAAGTGAATCCTTTATTCAATCCACGGAGTAGGTTATCCCCATTTCCATTGTTAGAGAATATCTTGTCAGTTAATTCCATTGAGTTAATTTGTCCTTGAGACTAGTCTGAGTAAATCAGTGTAAAATAATTCCTCATCTAAAAAATTAGAACAACAAAAAAAAAAATTTACTACAATACAATAATGATTTAGTAAAAGATTCAGTTAAACATGGTAGGATTTCTTTATAAACTATAATTACATTTTAATTAATCAGAAAACCTATTAAGCTTATGATTTCAATAAAAAAAGAAAAGAAAATGCTGTACTGAAACAAATTTTCTATTACTTGGCATTTGTAGTGTGTGTTTTTAATAGTCAATTATTTATGTGAATGAAGCATAAAGATGACATTTTCAGTTAATTGAATTGTGATGGCCAAGATATGATTTTCTTTTTTTATCTATTAAAAAGTATACACCAGTCACAGTTGAAGGGAGAAATGTTAACTTGAAAAAAATAAATATACCTTTCCTCTTTATCCTTCCTCTGTGACATGCTGGAAGACCATATTCTATATAGTATGCAATTGAAAACAAGGCATTTAAAAAAAAAAAAAAAAAAAAAAAAAAGTTCTGAAATTAAAAGCCAGTAATTTACAAAATAAAACTCTGAATCTAACTTCCATTACTGAATTAGGTGACATAATTTTGAATAACACCTGTTTGTTGTATTTTTATGTATATTTTGTACCATTTTAGAATGTTGAAGCTGATCCCACTCCTGTCAAACAAGCAGAGACATGTTAAGATTTTAATTTTCATTGTGTATATCATCACCTAAGTTCTATGCACTGAAGAGTCAAAAACCAAATAGGATTTTTTTTTTTTTTAATTTTCTCAACCTCTATAAAGCCAACTTCATTATTAATCTTCAATGAAAGATTCTTGCAAACAGTGATTATTCAGTAGGTACAATGGATTAACAAAAATGAACATTTAAATGGAGAGTTATGACTATTTACTTTTAAGTCTATTACTAAATCTTTTTTTTAGATTTAGTTACCAGTTCAAATGGAAAACTAGGTATTTTATAATTATTTTTTGCAGAAAAATCATTATCCATTCTCTGCTACAAGACTTACAAGGGCATTTTATTATTGGAGCTAATATCTCTCTCTCAGATGTGTTAGTATTAATACTCAGAATGTGATGCCACATGCTAAAATATTCAATGTTTTTGTGTCTTTAATGTTTTTCTTTCTCTTTGTTTTAATCCAGGGCCCTGGGAAACTTTTGTATACTCATATATTGGTATTGTAGAAAGCAATTTTTTTTTTTTTTTTTCAGTATCTAAGATAGAAAACTCTTACAGCTACTATTGCACTGTGGCTTTAACTTCCTTCACTTATAGTTTACAGGCCAGCTAAGTGGTATATTCTCCTTTCACATCAAACACTTAGCATAGGATTCAACCAATATTTACTGAATTTCTTAGATAAGGACAAAATTGAAAATCCATACATATTGAAAAGCAACTACTTTATTTATTAGTTCAATTTGTCAATGCTTTTTAGAAGTTTCTCTGCAAAATATTAATTTATTACTAACTGTAGAGGTTTGATTTTTATGGAGTAAGTATAATTAAATATTAAGGAAAACTATATATATATATATATATATATATATATATATATATATAAATATATATATTTTTTTTTTTTTTTCTTTCCAGAAGATATCTTTAGAAATGGCAATTGCATAAGATTTTTATTAACCAGCACTCTATTGTTGGTTCTTAATTATGAATTTTTTTTTTTTTTTTTTTTTTTTTTTTTAAATGAATTTTCACTTTATTTTGCATCTGTAGATTGCATATGTATTTATAATATTGGCATACAACAGAGATTTTATATATATATATATATATATATATATATATATTCTGGTATATTTTGACTTAAAACAGTACTTTCACATTCCTTAAAGAGGAGTGTTGGGAAATAGGAGTAATTATTTACAATTTAGACTAATCCCATATATATATATATATATATATATATATATATATATATATATAACTGCATCACCAAAATAAGTTAGCATTTGTTCTGTTTTCAGCATATATATATATATATATATATATATATATATATATATATATATGCATCATCAAAAATAAGTTAGCATTTGTTCTGTTTTCAGCATATATATATATATATATATATATATATATATATATAACAATTAAAATATCAACTTGAGATATCAAACATTGATTGTATTAGAAACTTTGTGAATTTTCTTTGCTTCTTATCTGTTGTTTGTGCAAAGCTGCTACAACAAATGTTAGCTGAAATTAATGGCAATTCTTGAATTAATTGAAATACAGTTAGACCAGATAGTATTTGAATAAAGATTTCACCATCTGAAATTTAGTTAACATAATTTTGTCTTTGTTTGAAGTTGTATCTTTAGGTATCTAATTCAAGTAAATGTTTTCTTTAAATACTTTTATTGAAAGTAATTTGATAAGCTTATAAAAATAGAATAACAAGGATGTAATTATTTGTGGTGGTTCACATGTGTATAAAATAACTCCTATGAAGGTTTAGATCTAAATTTACTTGTATGTTATGCATTTATTCATAATATTAATTTTGAGAATCCTCAAAATATTTACTACTTTATATTATTTTAAAAAAATTACCAAACAAATCTTCGTTAATAGGTTTGTTTTGGATGATATGCTTCTTTGGCTTTCTTTAAATTCATGTTATATCTGATAGAACTCCTTTCAGAAATTTAGACTAGAACTCTTTATTTAATCTATATTGTGAAACTCTTACAGAAGGTAGTGAAGGAAAACAAGAAGAAAGGATTAAGCATCAGCTGCAAGACTGAATGCATGGTTGTTAGCAAAAGTGTGAATTGCAAATTGGCGATACCAGAATCAAACGAGTGTGGAAATTTAACTATCTGGGAAGTGTTTTAACAGGATGGAAAATGTCACACTGAAATCTGGAGGCGTATTGTGATAACCAAAGATGCGTTCCAAAAGCTAAGAGTACTAATAGAAAAATTTTGCTAGAAACAAGGAAAAGAGTACTAAACTGTTATCTGATATGTCCTCCTGTATGGACAATCTCCTTAAAGATGAAGAAGAGACTTGAAGTAACAGAAATGTTGTTCTACAGAAGGATACTGAGTATAACATAGACCAAAAATATGAGCAATGACAGAGTTTTAGAGATAATGGAAACAAAAAGAAAACTTATCAAGAAGAGACAGTTGAGGTTTTGGGGACACATAATAAAGTTGGAGAGCTTGGAGAATCTGATAATCACAGGACAAATTGAAAGCAAGAGAGACAGAAAAACAATGCATGACATACTTAGTGAGCTTGAGTAAATTCTCAGAGTTGAGACTGTGCTTATCATTTTAGATCATATGGTTTTAGTTTCCTTGTGTGTCATTATAAAACTATTTTAACATCAATCCTAAGTTACTCTTGTTCAGCTTCATTATATTATATAATTTATTTTCATTTATGAATTTTCAGTATGTAGAAACAATCTATCAAGGCAGAATTGTGATGATTCTATTAAATGAGCATTAGAATTTCTGGAGTGGCTAGTTGTAAGTTTTCTGTCTAAAATCCACTATCTTTTGATTATGAAGTTTATTAAATAGAATTTCTACACCATTAAAAAGAATAAATTTGACTTAAAATCTCATTTGCAGATAAATTAAATTTATTACACTTAATTACTTTTAATTAAAAAATGATTTGAAATCTGTTTTAAGTGTTTTCATTTCAGTAGTTAATGAAACATTAGTTTTAAAAACACCGCCATGTATCTACTTCAGTTATAAAAAATATCATTCAGTATATGAGACGATATTTAATTGACATTTAAAGATTTATAAATACATAAGCAACTGAAAGTGAGAAAATTTGGAAATGGTAACAGAATTATAAAAGTGTGGGGTGGGGGTGAATGAGGCTGAGGTAAGTACCTTTAGACAATATTGTATTGAAGATATCTTAAATAATGTCAATTTTATAATGAAAATATTTTTTTCTTTTACAGGAGAAGTTTTTGATTATTTGGTAGCACATGGGCGAATGAAAGAGAAAGAAGCCAGAGCCAAATTTAGACAAGTGAGTTGAACATCTTTTGTTTACTATTTGCATTTCCCCACCCCCTTAATAACACATGTTTTCTCTATAAAACATTACTTTACAAAATCTAAATGTATTATGTCTGTATAATTTCATGCTTTTTACTTTATTTAAAACAAAACAAATCCTGAAAATGTAGGAGATGTTTTACATGTTTTTTTTTAATTTCATTTTATTTTTTTTTAACTATAAAATTTAGCTATCACAGACTATAGCATATGACAGTTGATTTCCATTAGATTATTATAGTTTTTTCTAGATATTATAGATTTTTAAAGTTTGTTCAAATTTAGATTAAAAAAATAAAAAAATGTACTTGATGTTTTTGCTATTTATTGGGAGTGGTCATAAAATCATAATTTTTTCATAGATTTTCATTAATGCTTTGTTTTTTTATATACTAAAAATTGGAAAGAGGTTTAACAATGCCATATGTAATTATAGAAGTGATTTTTTTTTTTTTTTTTTTTTTTTTTTTTTTTTTTTAACTTTTTCTATATCTTCCTTGCATTGGCTATATATATATATATATATATATACACACACTCTCTCTCTCTCTTTCTCTCTCTCTTTTGATGGCATAAGTCAACTAATGATTTCATATGATATACAAATTTTACTTGCCCCTTCACTTTGGAGTGTTATCATTTTTAAGTTACTTGAAAAAAACAAAACAAAAAAAAAATGATCATTTATGCCTTATTAAATATAAATTTAGGATTTGTGGAAAGATCTGAAATTCTAACAAATGATACATTTTTACATTTACCTATAATTACCAGAATAAATTACTGGTTATCATCACGCATTATTGAGTATATAAGGTTTCAATTATTCTGTATTGTTGACTATTGCTGCTGCTGAATGTAAACTCTTTGAAAGTTTTTTACATGAGAATATTACACAAAAATAATTTTAACATTCACTTCAAATTGTAGTGGTGTAAACTGGTAATAAATTATCAATAAATGTTGCCAAAACATTTTCACTAAAATTTATTTACCAACAAATATTCCTTATAAGTTGAGTATCTATCATGGTATGATAGTAATAATCTTCTCTAACAAAGCCAATTCATAAGTACAGTGAGCCTGATTCTTGCTTAGGGGGCCTGACTGATTTCAATTCTATTGTTTTCATGTGTAATGTACTCTTTAAATCAGATTTTTTAGGAATCACTTTTTTTTTTTAATTTTAACAGATTGTGTCTGCTGTACAGTATTGTCACCAGAAGCACATTGTACATAGAGATTTAAAAGTAAGTTCCTACTTTTTTTATCATCATCATCATCATCTGTTCAATGTGTTTTAATAAGCTTATTTTCTAAGTGGTTGACTTATTTATTTTTTTAAAACATTGCAACTCTTAAATCGATTTTAGACAAACCAGAGGCTGACCTCTATAACTTTGAGTCATTTACTGGCTCTTGTACTTCCTTTGTACTGAAAGGATCTGTTAGAAGAATGTGGACAAGAATATTCACGTGTGTTGTCATAATGAAAATTGTATGATACTATGTGACCTCAGTGTGCTAGAATATATTTTAGCTTGCTAGTTGCTATTTTGTCCTTGAAGCAGTTTTTAATATTTACTGTGGTAAATTTGTGTGGTGACCAAATGTTTATCAGCAAAGAAAATAGCCAGTAAGGGAAATGTAACAGATGATGTCAAGTAATCCGTCTATAAAATTCATGGTACTCAATGCCATAAAAATTCCTGTTGCATTAATAGTTTATAAACAGTTGGTCACTATATTAATGTTTATCTAAAGTTAAAAAGCATTCACATAACTGAAGTTGAGGGGTTGGGGTGGGGGGTCTTAGAACAATTATTTTTATTTTATATACAAAAGTACAATTATAGAAATTTTATGAATACTTTTTATATCGTATTACGAGGATCAACTATTCTTTCTATACCATGCATCAAAATGCATGCACATGTGCAAAACATTTTTGACATGGCAAAGATGTAAAAAATAATTCTGAATTTGAAAATTTAAATCTGTAGACTTTTTGTTATTTATGTATAGATTACCTTCAGTGTTCTAGAATTACTTTGAGCCTTTCTTTCAGGTCAACATACCAGCAAACCATAATTATGACTTGGAAAAATGCATAGATGATTTTATATTTTAAGCAAGCAGTATTTGTCAGAATCTTGGAAGGAATTATTATAGCCATTTGATTTGGATCAGCATTCACAACATTTTGGCCATTTTACCTTTTGGCCATCTTTGGGTGTCTGTAGTATTCAGTAACCTTTTGAATTTTGAACTGAACTTATTATTCAATCTACAGGGAGAGATTGTTCTTATGCTGCTTTCTATGCTCTTGCATCTATTAACTCTCTTCCTATTGAACAAGAACTTACAGTTACATGATGTTGAAACAACAGTTCCCATATGACCACTGAAGTTGGGTACGTTATATTCACTTATGTGCAAATATCTTTGGGAAAGGTATGAATTCACTTCTCCCTCCAAGATATAGGTTAATTAGTAATATTTGTATAACTAAACCAATGTTATCTCAAGGAAAAAAAAAATCAAAACATTTAGAATTTAAATATTTTCTGGCTGCAAATAACCTGCAGAAAATGAATCAATCCATTAACTTGTTAAACCAGAGTATCAGATTTTTCTACCTGACTTTGTGATTGAACTCTGGAAACTGTATGTTTTAACCAAGGTCTTGATTTACTAGACTCCATGAATAATCTAGTGATGTAATTTGGGGGACATAAACCTAATGTTTGAAATTTTTTGAGCATTCTTAATCAGAATTCTGAGATGGTTACAGAGTACAACAGATGCCTGAAGATAGCTGGAGGGTACAATGGCTGAAACATTGTGAATATAACAACCAAGGTGAGTATGCTAGTCTGAATAGAAAGGCATATAATAAGTAGTATTATGCTTAAGATTTGTTGCTTTTTATTTGAGAGAATCGAGAAAGGAATGAACTTAGAAAATCCTGTTCAATGCAAAATAGTTTCTCCTTAGTAATTAAGGATATTGGTGTATGGATTTGATTATTTGTGAACTAATGTATAAAACTCTTTCAAATGGGATATTTAAATAAAATGCTTTTATTAAAAGCATTATTTTAAAAAAATTTTTTTTTTATTAAATGATGAAGTGTTCAACACTTTCACATTTTACATAATTTAATATTTTTATATTTTTTTTTTTCAGGCTGAAAATTTATTGCTTGATGGTGATATGCACATAAAGATTGCTGACTTTGGTTTTAGTAATGAATTTATTCCTGGAAGTAAATTAGACACCTTCTGTGGGAGTCCACCATATGCTGCTCCAGAACTCTTTCAAGGTTGGCCTCCTGCTCTTTATTTTATTTTTAATATTGAACATTAATCATTATTACTCTTTATAAATTAAACCGTTTTTTATTTTTTTTTATTTTTATTTTTTTTTTCCCATTTAATATTAAATAAAATTCTGCTGCCTATTTGAATGTTGACAGCATAAAATTCTTATGTGAAAATTAGGGGGGGGAAAACGGGTATTTTTTTGAAAGTGTTGTTAATATCAATGAATATGTACTACCTAGAAAGAAAGAAAAAAGATAGTACACTGGATTTTCTTTATATTCAAGTTCTCTTTGTAGTTTCATATGCAAATTTTCTACATAAATTTTTATTTATTTATTAAGAATGAGGATTTCTTGATTTACTGCAATTTTTTTTTTTTTTTTTTTTTTTAATTAAAAAGTAGAAAAACACTTTTTTACAAACACCATAATTTAAATCTCTGAAATAATTTGTTTGGTTTCCAAAATTTTGAAATTTGTGACTTGAATCAGTACCTTAACCATGCTTTATTTTTATTCATTAATAATCATTTTTTAGTTTGTTATCAATATTTTAATTTGATGTGATTACTATTAATACCACTACTATTTCCAGGTAAAAAATATGATGGTCCAGAGGTTGATGTTTGGAGTTTAGGTGTAATTTTATATACACTAGTCAGTGGGTCCTTACCATTTGATGGTCAGAATTTAAAAGTAAGTATTCATTTTATAATCTAGGGTTAAGGCTTTAATTATTATGAAGTAGTTTTCATAATATTTATTGTAAGTTTTAATGAATATTTAATGAGATTAATTTTACATGAAATATTGCTCTAATTGGATAAGTTATTTCACTGGAAATTGAATGTTTTTAGAATTTTTAACACTTGTTAATGTTCTTGTATTTAAATGAAATGATTAAACATAGCTAGAAGATATTTGAAGATTGATTTTGATGAATTAAAACTTTTATACATAAAACATTAAATTTAATTGAAATAAAACATTCTCAGGTCTTTTGAGATTATTTAAATTCTCAATGTCTAGCAGCAGATTATGGGAATTTGACATTGGAGTCATGGATCAACTGTGTATGATTTAAATTTCTACTGCGGTTAATGCAATTTAAATTGTAATTTTGGAGCACCATCTATCATTTTCTGTTGCTGATTAACTAATATTTTTGTCTGAATTACTAAGATTAGGAATTATTAAATCCTGATTTATTCAAAGGTTGTTATAGTTGTATTTGGTACTATTATCGACACCAAAAAACCAAACTCTTTATTCAATCTATGGGATAATCCTGTTCTCATTTTGCTGTGTTACTGAATTTGTCCTTTGGATGCTGCTTCTGTTCATCTCATTGAATCAGAATATATGGATTTTATTGCCTGACCTAGTTTTGAATACATGACCACCAGATAAACTGCTTACATTTAAACCAGGGGTCTCAAACTCAAGGACACATTAGATACTGAAGGGGAGCAGGCCAGAAATGGTGAACTGCAGACCTCATGGTTGGGAACCCAACCATGCGGCCCATGTCCTTCTTTAAGGACAAGCCCACAAAACTATGAAGCTGTTGGTAATTTTGAGTAAAAAGAAATTTTTGCACACATTTCAGTAGTTCATGTTCTATTAAGAACTTTAAAAAAAAAAAGAAGTAAAATTTACATGGAATTTCTCAAATGCATGTCACAAAAATCAAATATTATCACTTTTCTTGAAAAGTTCAGCTCTACTTGCAATTTTACTTTTCTTTGACATTGCTAACATTTTTCTTCCTTTTTTTTATTTGCAGTTTCATTTATGTAATTGACGAAAAAATACATCTTTCTTGAAATTTCAGTTTATTTAACAATTTTCTCTCAAATTTCTAATATGATGTTTTATTGTTTGTGTTGTTTCTTGCTTCATGTATGCTCTCCACCCCAATATGAGATCAAATTTATTCTTCCTTTCATTATAAAAAAAATATCATTTTTCTGCTTTGTCTACACTCCCACATCAATAAAACCTTGTATAATGATGTAAATATTCAGTACTTATTTCTTTCTGCTTTCCCTAATGTGCTGTTAAATTCATTTTCACCATCTCTCTCATATATATATATATAGATACTTATTTTGGATTTCTTGAATACCAGTTGTCACATTTATTTCTTATATAATGAAAAGAGAAAGAAACATTTTTATAAATTACATTTTATACTCTCTTGTTAGGTAGTTGAAGAAACTTGATGGGAAAGTATTTTACTTTCCTTCCCTGGAAAGGAACTAGAACAGCCCCTGTTAACCTTGAAATTGATTGATGCTTTATTTGCACTTGGTGGATAGGTCAAGTTCTGTACTGCTACTGCAAAAATATGGGAGTGGTGATGGACAAGTTTATTGGAAGAAAATATCGATCATGAAAATGGTTCCCCTCAGACTGCATGCGGCCCATGGGCCATATGTTTGACCCTTCCCCTGGTTTTAAACCAATACTTATATTCACTAAGTCAGTGTTTTGTAGGACAATCTAGTAAAGGACTTTTGGAGTTGAAAGTCTTGATATATATTCTTTCTTGATCAAAGGCATCCATATGGAACTATGCTAGGGCTACTTGAGGGTATTATCAGGGTCAGGTATGTGCATTGATTCTTTCAAATTCCCTTATTCTCTAATGCTTCTTTCTATTGTTCTTTGTTCAATAAGGGTTTCTGGCCCTTCTCTCCATTTATTTTTTTCTCTCTTCCTACTGAATCTACTTAGCTAGATTTCATTGTCTATTTACACAGAAGGCAGATAATGTTTCCTTCTAGATTCCATTCCATATCTGCATGGAATGGTACTATTTACACATCTTGATCATGTCTTATCGCTCTGGTCATGTGTATTTGTTCATATTGACAATTTACTTAAGGTCACATGTATAACTCATTTTGTTGTTTGGGATTTGTTTCAGAAAAACAATACCATCATGATGGTCCTTTCATCTCGGTACTTTTGATTATCAGGATTCTCTTGTAGCTGCTTAATAATTCTTATGGTGAGAGCATGTGTGACCAACTGGCTTACCTTTATTGAGCAATCTCTGACTGTAAAGGATATCTAAAGTATATCACCAAATACAATGCATCTACAAAACATCTTCATAGAAAAGTTACATTATATGCAAATTGCATTTTTTTTTCCTCTCTCTTCCTAGGAACTTCGTGAAAGAGTGTTGCGAGGAAAATACAGAATACCATTCTATATGTCAACTGACTGTGAAAACTTACTAAAGAAATTTTTGGTTTTAAATCCTGCAAAAAGAGCAAGTTTAGAGGTATGACACTTGTATTGTTTTCTGTATTTAATTATTTAGTCTGTTATTAGTTGTTGAGAATAAAGAAATTAAAAATAAAAATATTTGAAACAACTCAAAACATTGCTAATAAGAAGGATGTATATAAGATTTTCTTGTTGCCTTGATTGATAATATTTAAATATATTACATTAATCATTTCTTATTTTCCTTTAGTACTAAGATCTTTTACAATAATTTCTAATCAAGCTTAACTTTCTATCATGAATTTGTATAAAAAGTTAATATAAACTTGACCATGAATTATTACATTATTTTCTATTAAGATTTAATGTTATAGTAAGAAAATAATTTAAATTTTTCAGAATTTTTGTTAAATGGTTGTTTTTTGTTTTTTGTTTTTTTTGTTGTATGCTTTATTTCCAAGATAGTCTTTATTTGAAAGTTTTATAAATGATGTATTTGATTTGGTTTCATTCATTTTGTGATGCCTAATGTTTTCATTTTTTTTTTTGTTGCATTATGAATTTTTAAGATATTCTTGTATTTGTTTTTTATAATTTTTATTGTTTTAAATTTTTATTCTGTTTTTAATTATTTTTTTAAGGCATGTAATAAAATTAATTATTATAAGGTGATTTATGTAAACTGTCAGAATTTCTTAGTTAACATAAATATATGCAAAATTTCAAACCAAATTTCAATCTTTATTTGTAAGTATCCAATGCATTTATAAAGTTTTCTTCTGCAACAGACCTTGTTTGAGTTCAAATTTGTTAGGTGGCATTTAGAGAAAATACAGCATTTGCTCTCTCTTTTTTTTTTTTTTTTTTTTTTTTAAATCAAAGAACGTAAGATACTTCAATATCTTGATAGATAAAAACTAAAATTCCTGACAGGTCTGTACAAAATTGGTCATTTATTTATAGTGATTGTGCTTAAAAATATTTTAAACTCTTGATAATTATTTATTTTTTCTGATAAGGATATTTTCTTCTCCAGCTGCTAAATTTTAAAAAATAACCCATGTATTTTTATTTTGTATTAAACATTTGCTTTACAGAAAAATAAAATCTTTTAATACATTATGTTTGTGAAACTCTTAAGTTTTGTCTTATTTTATAGAATATTGATGCAGATTATCCATTGACTTGTCTAATAATGACAATTAATTCCTGGATCCTCACCCATTCCCAGATTTTATCCTTTGGTGTCCTTATCTGCAGGCATCCACATATTAATATAGATAATTATATCTATTGCATTTAAATCTTTAAATTCCAAGTCTGAGAAAGTTAAAAAAAAAAAAAAAGAATGTTAATATTTATCCTAACAAATGTAGTTTAATATCTACCTTTACTTTCTGAAATAAGCAGACAAATTTAAATACTGACTTGTCTGTGACTGACCATCTTTGATATATTTCCTTTTAGTTTTATTTTTGTCCTTCTATATTACTACTATCCTAAAAAAGGAAAATTATATACTTTGTAAAAGCCTATCTCTATTCACTATGGGATGTCAGTGATTTAAATGATTAGAAGTAAAAGTTGCTTTACAAACAAAAAGACTTATCCAAATGATGAACTTAATAATTCCAACTTAACTTTGTTCCCCAAAGTTGTTATATACTTAACTACTTTTATCTAATCAGTTTAGAAATTATTATTTTCTAAATATTGTTTTATTTTATATTTTTGCAAAAATCTTTTATTTAAAATATTTGCATAAACTTGATTAGAGGACAAATTCCTAACAAATATGTTAGGTATCACCAAATATGTAAGAAATTAAAATTAATTTTGAGTACATAAAATTTTAAAATTCTTATTAATTTGTACTAAAATATTGTTCTAATTAAAAATGGTACAATTTTATTTATTTATTTTTTTTTTATCTGCATCATTGAATTTGGTTTTTCCTAATTCATTAGATGTCTGTAATTACTGTTTATACTTTTTTAAATTAAGGTTCCATTTTCTTTTTTTTTTCTTTTTAAGTTTTATATTTCAGATAAAGATATGTTATTTGTTAAAACTATAGTCACTGCATTCACTTGGACATAGTGACTTGCAAAAAAAAAATTTTAAGTATCAAATTGATGTTGCATTTTTAACATTTAGGTCAAATTTATTGTTTAAATAATTAAAATTGCAAACCAATTTATTTCCTAAATTGGTTGAACTAAAACATATATTATCTTGACCCTTTTGTAATTGGAGTACAAAAAATGCCTGCTATATGCATTGAAGCAATTGCAAGGTTAATTCATTTAAGATTTACTACATTTCTCCAGCTCAAGACTTGAGTAATGATTTTAGTGTATAATTATTAACACATATTTGATAAAAATGCAAAAGGTAAAATTTTGTGCATGCATTCAATCATAATTTGGACAGATATCGTCTTGGGTACATTTGATGTTGGAGTGATTTGACTTATGAGCTGTGAAATATGGTAAAACTTTTTAAGAGAATTAACTTCAAATTAAAGAGGCGAATGCTGGCGACACTGATTACAGGCAAATAGTTTCTCTGGTCCTAAAAGGGTCAAGCTACATAGTGACATGTCAGAAGGTTGGGAACCCAGTTCTTCCCAACTTTCTTTGAGCTGTCTCTCTGGATGCCTGACTGTTGTTCCTGCTTCTTGTTTTTAATGATGCATTGTTCTCTTCCCTTTTGTGTAACAGACAATTATGAAGGACAAGTGGATGAATATAGGTTTCGAAGATGATGAACTTAAGCCATATGTAGAGCCACCGCCTGACATAAATGATCCACTTCGAATAGGTAATTGTATAAAAGATGACCCAACCTGGCTTGTTCAGTTTTTGTTTCCATATTTAACTGGGGGAAGCAACATGCTGAAAAGCCAATAGTACTACTACTATTATCATTACTGTCCATAATACGATTATTTTTTATTTTTTTTTTTGCCCTGCATATCTAGTGGCTGTGCTAGGGGACCTCCTGCCCAGGGTCTTCTGCTACTGCAGTGCAATTGTCTCTTATACAGGGACACACGGATTTCTTACCAACTGGCACCTGCCAAAGATCTTTTGCATGCTGATCTTTATCATGCAAAACTTTTTTTGGTTTTCAGAGCTTTTCTTTTTTTTTTTTCTTTTTTTTTTCTTTTTTTTTCTTTTGTTGTTGTCATTGTCATCTCTAAGTGGGCTTTGTGGTTGTATCTTCCACCCATTTGTTTGCTTAATTTTATTTTCTATGTGCTGAAAATCAGTTTGTCTTTTGGTCTACAGACCATTATGCGAGACCGCTGGATCAATGTTGGGTATGAAGATAAGGAATTAAAGCCTTACAAAGAGCCATGTAGAGACAAGCTTGATCCTAAGCGCATAGGTAAACCAACGTTATGCAACGTTTATAAAATATTTGTATCAGGGATTCTTTGTAAATCTACATCCATACTTATTTCTTAAACTTTGCATTTCAATAAAATGCATTAAGAGAGGTGAACAATTGAACAAATTAAGTTGCTAATTTGAATTTACATATTATCTTTATACAGTTCTAACTTAAAAATTTGTTTTATTTTTGAAGGGGTGGCATTCTCACCTTTTTATTTGTAATTGCAAATTATTTGGTTAAAAATAAATCCTAATCTGTTCAAGAAATGGTTTTATAATAAATTTGACCTTTTTAGATGTGATAATGATTTTAATTAAATTTTTCAAATATTTTCTTGCTTTTCCTCCATAAAGGATTCTTTTATTAGTTGCATAAATTTTGTAAATGCTACTATTTTCTTAATTTATTCGACATTTTAAAAAAAAATTTTTCAGACACTCAATGTAAGTTCAATAACTATTAAATTTGCTTATTAAAGTGAAGGATTTTACTTAAAAAAAATTTCTTAAAACAATCAAAATATTGCATTTAAATTTTAATAAAAAGGAATCCAAATGTAATTGGACTTTACATCTAAGAAAAAATATAAATTAGAAGAAATATTATTGAACGAGTTTCATTTAAAAGTTTGAGTATTCATCTCTATTAAAAACATATGCTCCTTGCTTTATGATGACCTGACTAAAAATTTCAACTTTTACAATATTGCATTAGCAAAGAACTTTCTTCTGTTATCAAACTGTCAAATGTTTATTATTTCATGGGTGAGCAATCCTGTGTTATATATTTATCACTGTCAAGATAGCATCTTACAAATTGCCTCCAGTGTCCCTTGTGGCTGCAGAAACTATGTTCCAGTATTTAACTTTTCAAAGTCTATTAATTTGCTAAATGCCCTAGTGTGCATCCCTTGATAGGGAAAAAATGTGACTTTTTTTTTATTATTTTATAATATTGCTTAGGTGCTAGGCTGGTCTAGGTCACACTGTGGTTGTTTTCAACTTTGGAATTTTTATTTATTTTATGATTGGCCCATTAGAATATAACTAGTGTTAGTTGAATATTTGCTATAGTTGTCTTAAAGAAAGCATAAAGTATTCATGATACAAACCATGTGCATATACATTCAAAACCCCAACTGCAAAATAAAATGCTAAATACACATGTACTGAATATAAAAACTTTTTCTAAATTCTTTTATGCATTCATATGAAAATAATACTCAAAAGGTAGATTGTCATTAGAATTAGATTGTCAATATTAAAATAAAAACCTTTATAAAATTCTGAACATTTTTGTAATTCTTAAATTAATAAATGTTATTAGGATTTATTTTCAATGTCCACCTCTCTTCGATTATTTAGTGTAGTATATCACCAATTAAATTTCCTTTTTTTTTTTTTTTCTTATTTCTTTTCTTCAACTTTAGGGATTTGTATGACATGTAAAACAAGACTCCCTGTTACAAATAGAACTTTGTTTTTTTTCTGCTATTGCTTCTCGGAAATTTCTCAAAGCTTTTTCCAGCTTCTCCATTTTCCTCTCTGTCCCAAGCTATAAGAGTCTGTTGCTTTGTAGTTTGCAAATAATCTGGTATTTCTGTTTCTCAGTTTCTAACCACACTTGCTTTGCCTTGTACATTTCACCCTTCTTTCTTACTGGTTGTAGAGTTTGCATCCTTTCTTGCTCTTCTCTCTCTCTCTCTCTCTTCATTATGTGAATGTAGGTTAGGTTTTGCTTCTATAATCTTTTAAACTAAACTTTCTATCTTTTTAATATGCTTTATTCACTCTGCAAAAAAAACCAAAAAAACTGGATGTTATTTGTACAATTTCTCTTACTAACCCTGTTCTTCGAATAGACTTACAATATAACTGTTGGCAGTTTCAGTTTCTTTTTTGTCTACTAATGGTATGCTTTGACATTGAATAATACTATTGAAAAAAAAAAAAAAAGAAAATGTGAATATATAATGGTCTTAAATCTATTTCTTTGGTTATCTCTTACTTACATTGAATTATTGGCATATGTTCACTAGTTATTGCTTTGTCATGTCCTTTGTAGTCATTATCCACTTTCAATTTAAAAGTTTGTTCATATTATATATATATATATATATATATATATATGTGTGTATATTTATTGGTTTGTTTTCTTCTATTCTTCCAAAAACACCCATTCTTGGCCGCATGTAGGAAGATCAATACAACCATGCATACCTAATCTATAACTTCGAATAGCCCAAGTGAAGTCTTGATTGGTTGTTGTCTACTGGGGCAACTTATATAATTCATGTCCTAAAGCTAGTGGCAAATTTTTGTTCTAGGTGCGGGCCGAATACTGATCATATTCAGTCTGGCCGCCCATCGAAGAAGTCTGTTGTTTATTTAGACCCGAAACTTCTAGTGACATGGGAGCAACAACACTGACGACGCATCTAGATTTGGCACTTAAAGGTGTATTTTAATAATAATAATAATAATAATAATAATATATCTTACAGAATAAAGTTGAATAACTTATAATAGGATTATCTTTTATTTATTCTCTCCTTTATATAGCATAACTCATTGAATACTTGTATTTAAAAATTTCTGGCTGCTTCCTCCCCCACCCTTTTAAATGTATATAGTAAAACTGATTGGGAATGATTATAATTTTGCTCCATTTTCAAGCCATATAACCAAATGTCCAGGTGAAAATCTTTTCTCCTTTTTTTTTTTTTTTTTTTTTTTTTTTTTGTCACATTTAATTATGTCATGGGCGATTTTCAGAGGCTTCCATTTAATTGATAATATTCATCTGTCTTAAATCTAGAATTGTTTTCGATTATGATAGCTTTCTTTGGTTTATTTGTCATTGATTATTAATCCATTCATATTGTGGTGTGTGTGTGTGTGGGGGGGTAACTATATTGTATTTCATTTTCAAGACCTTCATTCTCATTGCTGAGGTGGATATGCACTTTTAAAGTATTTTTTCTTTAAGATTATTTATTTCAAAGCTAACAGCTTGTGCCCCACCCAAACTTTATTTGCATTAAATATTTGATTCTCCTCATAAACTTTGCCCCCTACCTTTACCCTATTGAGGGAGATACACCATTGGCTATCAGCTTCTTGCTTTGAAGCTTCCAGTATTTTTTATTTTATTTTATTTTTATTTGAATGGAATTATTCATCTTTCATAGCTTTTTATCAACTTGCAAAATATATAGCTTAAAATGTTACTAAGGTTTGTGCACCTCTTGGGCATTACATTTTTCACTTATGTCTTCCTGGAAATTTTGAGATCTGAAATGTTCTTTTATAGCTTTTAACTTTGCATTTATCTTTAATATATAATATTTAACATTTAAAAAGAACTGCCTAAGCTTTCTTTTCATTAAATGATTTTGTATTTAATAAAACCTCTTGACTAAATTTTATTTAAAGAACATAATGATTAAGTAAAGTCCAATTTTGTTATTAAACATAATTAACTCTGCATGGCATCTTAATGGATTTTCAGAGCAATTTTTTATATTTTAGACTTTGGATAAATATATATATATATATACATAATTCAAGTAATTTTCTTTAAAAAAAAAAAAAAAAAAAATCGTTGTTGGGGGACCAAAGTATTCACTAGCATTGTCTGGTAGTTTTATACACACAAAGCCTCAATATTGAGACAAACCTGGAATGTGAATGCTTTTCACTTGTGATTTTTTTTTTTTTTTTTTTTTTTTTTTGTGTTCATACACTACAAGAGATTCTAATTGTATTTTGTTATATTGCTTAAAGCATCATAAATTGTAGCTAGTTTATTACTATTCACTGGTTTTGTCTACATTACCATGTAGATAACTGTCAAGCATGTTCATATTCACACCGATCAGTTATTGGTTTCTAAATAGTTTGCTTTTTGTGTTTTTTTTTTTTTTTTTTACAAGCCAGTTTCTTCTTTGATAAATAATTTATATAAATTTTCAGTTGTCCTATTAATTAAATACACCTTAATGATCATGTTAAAATTTAAAGTGGTCTAACATTTGAAAAATTTCTTAGTATATTGAACTTTATTTTACTAAAAGAAATTTCCAATGTAATTCACCACTTCAAATAATGAAAAAAACCCTTTTCAACGTTTTCCCCACTTACTCTTTCATTTCCTTTGTGCTTGATTCATCTATTTATTCACTGATGTTTTGAATTATTTTGACACATTTGAGCGGTGTGAAAGTTTTGGATGTCTGTATGCTGCATGACTACTTTGCATGTTTGTGTTGTTATTATATGCTTGTTTGCTTTTATGCACATTTAAGATTTCTCTTTTCAGCCTCATCATTTCATGAAATTATTCTAGTAAACTCCTATGAAATAACATTAGGCTTGACTTGTAACTTATTTGTCTACTGAGATATTAGACTGATAAAGAGGGATTGTGAAGCATATGAATATAGAGCTTAACCTGGCCCAGTTGTAGTTTTGATTTGTACTCAACCAACTCTCACATATTAACTTACCTTTATATAGCATGCCACCACTATCAACTAAGACTTTAAACTCTCAGTAACTTGTGAGAGCAGGATGCTTGTCACAGCTTGATAATTAGTGGGTGTTCAGGCTAAGGTTTTCTAGTTTTAAAAGCGGCATCTTAGACCAGTTAAATATTTGTACAAATTTGTAGTCCTTTATCATGTAAAAAGCAAAAAACTCACCACTTCACAAATGCTAGTAAAATGAATGCTCTATTTTTAAATACCTTTAAAATAGCAGTTAATTTTTAAATTATTGACCAGTAGCTAAATATTTGTGAAGCATATTTTAATGCAAGAAAATTTATAAATAAAAATATTTCTCTTTTGAGGCCTTTTACATTTTTCTTTTTTTTTTCTTTTCTTTTATAAATTTTGATTATGAATAATAAACTAATCGGTGTGAATTAAGCTTCTCTTGTGAGAAGCAAAAACAAAACCTGAAAAACATCTGCTGCTTGTACATAAATTGTTTAATACTTAGGTTAATTGCTTATATCGATAACATTTTTACTAGACTCAATAATACCAAGCAAATAATATTGAACTGCATGCATATCTGATGGCATCACTGGTTTAAATTTTATTGCTATAACATTTTTTCCGACCCCCCCCCATTAAAAAAAACAAACCAGCATAAACTTTTTTTTAAAGCTAGCATAAGTTAGTCCATCATGTGTACATAATTACTTTCAGTTCAAAGTTTGTGTAGATTCTGACTTAATAAACTGCAAAACCTAACTAACTTTAATCATGTATATTTGCTGTTGAAGAAAACAATACAGATGTTGTGAATTTACTTACTCTTAATTTGCATTCATTTTTTTTTTTTTTATTAACTGTCACAAAATATTTGTTAGCAAATCAACTTTTATTCTTGATTGTTGATACGTCTTTTTAATGTGAAATAAAAGCATAGTGCTGAAAAGAGTGAGTTGGTACTTAGAACATTCCACCGTTATTGAACTAAATGACCCTTAATATGTTTGAATTTAACATATGTTAAGAATAGGAGTATCTGAATAATGTTTTATTTTTTGTTTTTATTAGATACAGATTTACTTTTAGGTATAAAGATTAGAAAAATTTTAAAAATAATATCTTAAAACTAGTAAAATTCTATGAAACCCTATGAATTTCTCATTAAAAAGCTTCAAATATATCAGTTATAATTCATTAACTGATTTGAACACTTTTTAATTTAGTAAAATTTTCTTTTGAAAATTGTTTTTTCCAAAGTTTATTTTCTGCAATTTAACGTGGCAGTATAACTTTTCATTTCTGTTTAATTAAATCAAAAACTTAAAAACAAAATATACAAAGGCTTATGCGTGTATGTGTATATATATATATATATATATATATATATATATATATATATATATATATATATATATATATATATTTTTCAACACAATAATTCAATTTACATTCTCTCATAAGTTTTTATTTTCATTTTGTATAAAAGTTTTAAACTCTAATAGAGGTCAAGGATATTTCTTTTCAAGTCTTCAAAATATTTCTTTATTTACACAAAAATTTGTAATTAAGATTTGAGGCTTGTCTTGTACCTTATGCCCCACCCTGGGTAAAATCTCATAGTTTTTCATTTGAAATCCACTCTGAAAAAGTATGAATGGAATCTATTCAAACCAAATGTACATATTTTGTATTTTGTCAAATTTTGCATTGCATTGTACTCATTGATATAATTCTTGATAATTATACTCTTCTTATCTTTGTTAAAATGTGGCAATCATTCTTTTAATTGAAGCTGCATATTAAAGCAGGTTAAACACAATTATAGTCATAAAACTCTTCAAATCACTGGATTTTAAAATTCCTATAAATTTGTCTTGTTAGTGTTTGTTTGCCCCCTCATTATTTAAAGTTTTATAATTTTTAATGTTAAAAGCTGTGCATATAACATCAGAAAAACAATTGTGCTTATGAAAAGTATTTTAATCTTGGTTGTTAAATTTGTGATATTAATTAGATTTTCTTTTTAAAATTTTACAATTAATGCTGCAAAATAATTAAGGAAAAGTAGCAAGTAAGTTATTGTTATAAAAATATTATTCAAATCAGTGTTGAATTTACTTTAAATGTGAAAAACCATTTAAACTTTAAAAAAAAAACTTGCAGCAAATTATAGTTTAGCCTTGTTTTTTTTTTGTTTTTTGTTTTTTTTTTTGTTTTTCTTTTTAATTTTTCTTTCATTTTTTTATTTTTGATTCTTGCTCCAAAGAATAAAAAGTAGAGTACATTAACTCATTAATTGTGGCATAAATTTGTCATTTTCAGTTAAGCCATAGAACTGCAATGATAGAATTTCCCATTTGCAATTAATGGATTATAGTCACTCTGATCAGTTTCTTATGAGAAAATAGTGAGTGGCCTTATATGGAAACTCTGTGTGTGTGTGTGTATATATATATTATATATATAGTGTTATCATAAATTTATTTTTCTGTTCTTTTCATCCTCCTATTCTTATATCAGTCTGGTTATCTTGTTTTAGGAATAACCACTTCACTTAATAATATGGGTTGAAAAGATCTTTGGTTTGAGTATAATTTAGTTGGGGCTTGTCTTGCAGGCTAATAATGCATTTTTAGACATTTCGTAAATGATTCTAAAAGACTAGGTATGTCTAAAGGTTTGATGTTTCAACAACTTTATATAGTTGACTTATTTGACATTATTTCATTAGGTTTTCTAAGTTCTGATTAGATATTTTTAGTTATCAGTAATGTTCATTGTCATTTGATTTAAGGTTTTTTTTTTTTTTTTTTTTCCCCTTGTTAAAAAGAATAAAATTTTGAAGGTATTAATTCATTATTGTCTGGATTATAAAAGTTAGCTAAATTTTAAGATTTATTTTTGTGGGGTGGACCATTTGACTGTTTAAAATTTTCAGTCCTGATTTGTGGTTATATTGTGGGCCGCCTTTAATCACCCAATTTATGACTGATCATAATGATTATCTACATGTAAAAAGGAAAATTGCCATTATATACAGGAGGCTAGGATGTCCATTTTATAAATATTGATTTTTTTTTTTTTTTTTTGTATTTAATGTTATGTTTTTTTTATTTTTTTTTATATATAAAAACTCTTGTAAACTTTTATTTGACAGTAGTTCGTATGCTTTTTTTTTTCCCCTTATTTTGTCTGCATGATTGTCCTATAGTCTTATTAAATTGTTTAGATATTTACATATTATAATTGCTTATCTATCTTTATATATAATTGCTTGCAAAATTGAAAATTTGATATTAGGATTTATTTGTATTAGAATTTACACAGCCTAATTTTATAAGAAATTAATTTCTAAATTGAGTTATTTTGTAAACTCTGTAAAAGTGCTATTTACATTATGATTTTTGTAATTTAAACAGTTTTGCCTTTTTTTTTTGTATCTTGTCAATTTTTTATAAGGTGATATACACTTGATATCTATTCCATTCTGTTGCATTATTTATAACTTTTTTTGTGAAATAAACTTAAGTTTTCATTTGTTTTTAATTTTAGATTGATCTAAATAAATTATCAATTTATCAAATATTTGCTAATGCATACATAATTTTATTTTTAAAATTTTATTATTTTATGCTCATAATTAGTTAACATTAATATTTGTGACTTGTTTCCTTGTTCTAAACTTGTTTCTAAGTTTTGCTAGAAATGTTTCTTCTATTGAATTTATGTTCATTTCTAATATGTAATAGACTTTATGCTAGCCATTTGTCTAGATCTCCATTTGTAGTTGGTACAATTTTAAGTCTGAAAAATTTGATTATACTTTTATTGATCATTCTACAAATGCATAACCCATTTTGCTTTTTTTCTTGTATTAAATTTACTATTTTATGAGTTTTTCTCACCTTTTTGCATTTAATTTTTTTTTTAAATTTAACTTATGACATTTAAGTTGCTTTATTTATTTTGCTTAAAAAAAAGTATTTTAAGTTCTGATTCCATCAAGTAAATAATGGGCTCTTACTGTAGTTTTTGTGTGCAGTATTAACAATTTTCCTTTTTACACTTCCTTGTTTATAATGGTCCCTGAAGAAGTTAAAAAAAAAAAAAAAAACAATAAAAAAAAAAAAAGGAGGAATTTCCACAATGTAACTGCTAATCATAAAATTTATTTCAGAAAAAAATAATTTTTCTTTTGAAAACCTGTTTTTCTTTCTTTAGTGCCCTCAACAGAGACAGGTTCCAACATAAATGGGCTACACCGCTACCAAGGTGAGATGCTAAGGTTTTCATGCTCTTTCAGAGCGTCTTGGAACATTGTGCAAATTTCCAACTTTGGGAGGATAGGTTTTGTGCTCTCTATATAATAATCTTCTTGACCTAGAAATAGGGGTATTAAATTTGTGCAATAACAGGCCATCCATATCCTGTTGTGCAAACTGTACCTATGCCATTCAACATTTTTTTTTTTTTTTTTTTTTTTTTTTTTTAATTTTTAAATTTTAAAAAGAAATTTTTCAATGTATGTTAATGGATACCTTTTATTTCTTGCTTGTTAATGGGTGCTAATAGCATTGTCCCTGAATTTGTCTGTGATATATAAAACTCATTTCTTTGATTGTAAATGTTTAAATTTTTGTTTATCTAATGAATCTTGGTACATTTTGTCATCAAAATTCTATTTAATCTTTTAATGGAATGATGTAAACAAGTTTCTGTTAATGTAAAGCTTTATCTTAAAATGCCATTTGTCAAAAATAGTTTATTCAGCCCTTTTGAAATAAGATAATGATAGTTCATTCTTAATATACATTTGCAATTAAGTTTAAATTCAGTCCTAGTTTTCTCTTCATTTTTTGTTATTGAGGTTAGATGCTGGGTAGAATCTTGATTGGTATTGTCAGTTGCATCAGCATTGTTTCTTTGAATATTGTGTTTTTCTCTTTTAGGCAATTAAAGTAATCTGTGCAACTAATTAAACTTTAAATAGGTTTACACTTTCTTTGTACTGAGTATAAATTCTCTTAATTAATCATAGTTTGCTTTTATTATTGTTACTGGTTTACCCTGTTTCTCAATTTAATATGAAGACATTTTTATTAAGATCAGTTTTTAACTTTAAAAAAATATATTTCACTGCTTTTTTATTTATATTTTATTTTAAAAATAAACAAAAACATTTTTCACATTATTAACAACTTTTTGTCAAACTAATTTTGATCAAATTTTTTAACAAGGCTTTATTTTTCTTTCAATTTGTCTAAGCATCTCTGTGTTTTAATGACTTTAGAAAAATGCCAGATGAGATCTGAGATTATACATTTCACCTTTTTTCAAATTAACATTTTTGAAGCAACTCTAAGCAATAATTTGTAGTATTTAAGTTTAAAACCTTATGAATGTTTATTCAGGTCACACTATTAGTGATATTCCTTAAATTTTTTTTAATAATTTTGCTAAAATAACTATAAAACATAAGATGCACATTTTTATATTTAAATAGTTTTTTTCTCATAAGCACTTTTATAAATAATAATATCAAAAAATATTTTATAACAGCAACTGTATTGTGATGAATGTTCAGTTTTGATAACTAGATTACAGTTGTTCATAAGAAAGAACTTTCTACATGAAAGTCTCTATTTTAAACCTCAACTTTCAAATTGTTCATCTGCATTAATAGCTTTAAAATTTTTTTGAAATAACTTTTTCTATTACCAAATCTATTAAAAGCAGTGATGTCAGTCAGTACCATGAGCATCAGTTATATTTATGCTATTTTTTCTTTTTTGTAAGGAAATGTTTTTTCTTTTTTCCCATGTTAGATGTATGATAGAACAATTTTTCTTTTATAATTTGGAAGTGACAATCTAGTACAAGCCTAAAGAATGACTTTTTAAAATGTGACTGTTCTCTATTCTGTGTTTCTGTTGATATATCGATAATAGTACTTTGTGTGGCTGTTACATACGTACACATTCCAATTAAATGGTTCCTATTTTTAAAATATGTACATTTGAGGTTTTTTTCTGGTATATTTCATTTAATGTAATCATTGTAAAAAAAAAAAAAAAGACATTTTTTTTTCTCTTATATACTTACTTTTTATATTAAAAAAAAAACACTTGAGAAATATAGAGCTCTATGCTTTTAGACCTGACTATTGTTGAATGGATTATTTAAAATCAATTTTGTATTGAATGACTTTATATTGAAAAAAAAAAAACTACAATAAAAACATTTATATTTCTTTATTACATGTACTAATGCCTTATTTGTTAGGATTTTTTTTTTTTTTTTTAAGAGATGGAACTATTTGTTTACATTTTAATTCTAATGTCAAAAGTTAAGCTTGGGATTATTTTTTTTCACTTTCATTTGATCACATTTATGTACTATATTTTTTTCAGCTGGATTTGTACCAGTTGCATAAATTTTTCGTATTACATTTCATTTTTTTTTCTTTTCATTTTAGTAAATATCACTCCTTAATATTTAGAAAACCTTGGATGATTTCTGCGTTTGTATATTGCTAGAAATTCGCAATTTTTATCAGATGCTGCAAGTATGCTTAGTGTTTTTTAGAAGCTGTCCATTTTAACATTGGAAATAGTTTTATGCTTAAAATTTAATATTTAAAGATTAGCTATTGTATATTTTTAACTGTGAAATAGTAAATCTTTATTATGGGATCTCTGAAAGCAAATTTTTGCAAAAATAGATTATGTAAAATGCTGACCTAACTTGTTCACTTGCAATAAGTCACTGGCATTTTAAAAAGATTTGAAGATATAAGAAAAACTTGCTTGACTAATAAGAGTCAATTAAGATCAACATTTTTTTATAATAAAAGTGGAAGTTGAAAGGGTGAGAATTTTTCTTCCTTCATAAAAAAAAAAATAAAAAGTTGAGATTGATGCTTGATGCATTTGTGGTGGAAATATTTTTTACAGATTTTTAGTTGTATAAAATTTTAGATTTCATAATTTTCTTGAAATTCATTTAAAATGTGTTTAAAAAGGCTTTAATCTTTCACAACAGTAGGAACAGTTTTTTTAACACTGGTAAACATAAATGGAAATAATTTTCCCATTAAAACTTTGTTTTATTACATTGTGCGAACATGTACAAAGATAGGATTGGTAAGTGAAATGAAATTTTTAGGTTGTAAATTGTACTTGGCGATCTGTTCGTGTTTTTTGCATTATTGCCAGTTTTATTTTGTTCTGATTGAGTTAACTTTAAAAGTTTTAAATCACTCACACTTTTTAAATATAATTTTTTGTACAGGTTTATTACAATACTGAATATTTACAAATTGTCTTGATAATTATAGAAAAAAAACAGAAAATGAGTGATAAAGTTTTGAGACTATCTGTAAACTATAAGATTCTTTCTCTTATTTTTTCTTCTTTTTTTTTTTCCTCTTACTGTTCTAGATAGTGGAATTTACAATTCCAAATGTTAGTCTAAGGAGTTATTTAATCTGTGACTGTCCTTGCCATTTCAATGTCTGTAATATAATTAACTCTAATGTAAACTTGTATTTTATGCAGCACCGTCCTGCCACTTAATAGCGCTGACTATATTTTATCAGTTTGGGCTTGAGTAAGATCTTTAAAAATATTTCTCACTGATTTCAATTTCTTCACACATTCTATTCAAAGTCTATTATTTATTCCATATCACTATTTTCTTATTTTGCTCCCTTTCAGGCTTTCTGGAAAGATCTACAAATATAAATGGCATTTTCTTTTTCTTTTAATTTTTAATATAATTTTTTTTTAATATATAACTAAAAGGCTTTTCAGATGATGTTTTTAAGTTAAATCTGAGAGAGTGAGAGAAAAGATTCTCTATCAGATGAAGTATTTCTGAATTCTGAAGTTTCTCTAATATATAAATATGTGTAGTAACTTTAATTTTTAATACTTATTAAAAAAATGTTAATAGGTGAATGAAAAAAATACATTCCAGGCTCAACTTTAATTGTAGTTATTGTAAAATCTTTTATTATTTTTCTTTTTTTTAAATTAAAAAAGAATATATATATATATATATATATATATATTTTATTTCCTTTATTTTGAATTCTGACTTTTGATGTTCTTGATTTTTATTTTTTAAATTTCTAGATATCATGGCCAGTATGGGATATACCTTGAAAGATGTGGAGGACTCCTTGAGTCAACAGAAATATGATGATATCATGGCAACTTATTTACTCCTTGGACGGAGAACATCTGATGTGAGTATTAACATAGTGGCAACAATTGCAAGGCCTAAAATATAGGACTTAATTGACAGGTTAAAATCAAACATTTTCTCATTCTTAAATCATTTGATATTGCAAATTTACTTAGTCTCATTAATGTGACATGATCTTGGTTTTCAGTGGCCTGCTTTCCAAGCAGGTGTCAGACAAAAATGGACACTGAAAATATTAAGCATTAAAATGTTTGCTCTTTTTATTTTTATATATATATATATATATATATATATATATATATATAACTTTCAATAATATTGTCTGAGATCGAGGAAATTAGTTACATTATCTCACATATTATTAGTATTTTCATTGTTGTTTTAGTTACCATGTATCTTTTTTTTAAGCCCCTTTCAGTTATTTCATGACAAATGGACCAATTTTGGAAGGAAAATGCCTTACAAATTTTGCTCCAATTTTGCTCACTGTATCTGTTGGCTTTGTAATTAAGTCCTGTAAAAGTCTATCTTCATACATTTACCCATTCAGTCAAAACTATTTGAAAAACTAGCCCCAAGTATTTTTGAACATGCTCTTTTCAATAGCTTCTGTTAGGAAATGGTGCAGTTTGTCACACATTCATTTTTACATATTTTTTATTTGAGACCTTTATTTTATTTTCTTTATGCAGAAATTAGTATGTAGAATAATCTAAATTGACATTTTGTAGGACATTGACACTACTTTTTTCTTTCCTTTTTTTCTCTGCTTTGCTAAGCGGAGCTCGAGTTATTAAAAAAAAAAAAAGAGAGAGAGAGAAAAGGTTTTCCTGGAAATACTGCTTAAATCATTTTTTTTTTTTTCCCAAATAAGGCTGATAGCATATTCCAAATCCCCATAAAATGTTTACCCTGAGAATTATTTTGTTTTTGCTCTGTAGAAGTCCATCTTGTATAATGGTGAAAATGGAAAAAAAATAATTCAGACTCTGTTACACTGGACCAAATCCTTGTTCTTGGATCCATTATGACTGAATGAGTAAACATATTAAGTTAAGATTTTACAGGTTTTCATTTTAGCCCCTGTCCCCCTATCTGTAAGCAAAGTTAGTGAAACCTGAGGTGAATGAATGGAGACCATTGGTCCAGTTGCCAAATTTTATTCTTTTTTCTTTGAGTCTATCATTGAAAATGGAAGAAAGGTAATAGTTTTTGCATATTACCTTGTCACCAGAATGCCAAAAATTTACAATTTATGGAGAAAGTAGTTTAAACATGTCAAAAATGGTTTGTAAAGTTTCATGCAAAACAATTATTCCACAAATGAGTAGACCAGTTGAGATTGATAGTAATTGAATTATTATTGGAGAATCAGCATTATATGTTGCAGGGGTAGATAGCATGCATAACTCAAAATCATTTGCTGGCTTGGTTCTATTTGTTGTTTTGATGTGACTTTTGCATAAATTAAGGAGAGAAAAAAAAAACTTTGATCCTATGTACACTTTGCTATTTAAACATCAAAAATGTTTTTTTTTTTTTTTTTGTTTTAAAACAATTGTGATAGATGGACACTAAACAATGTAGAACATTGGTGAATGCAAGTAAAATGAACATTAACTTTTCCAAAATCCAATCTTCATTTGAAGAAAAAAGAAAAGGTAATACTCTGTATAGGTTGGAATATTAGAGCTCATTTCCTCTTAGTGATTGAGAAAAAAAGAGTGTTTATCTTAAGGTGTTAAGTGAATGAGTATAATGTTTTGTCAAGATAACTTTAAACCACATGTTTGTTTTGTAACCAGGCAAAAGCTGTTCTAACTTGACTGCAAGTTTTCCCCCTGATTTGCAAGATATTTCACCTTTTGAAGAACCATTTATTTAATTTTTTATAGAATTCTCATAATGTGAAAAAAAAAAAAATAGCTCTCTGGAATACTGCAAAAACTAGCTTCAGTGCTACTTTGTTGAGAAAAAGTTCGGAGGGGATGGATTATGAAGTTGCCTAAAAATAGCAGAAGATTGTTGAACTAAATAAACAGCAAATAGCACTGTTCAGTAAAATTAATGTCAGTGACTGTCAGTTTTACACTTCGATGTGATCTTTAACTTGGTTTGAAGATGACATTGAAGCATAAAATTGTCTGTCGCCATGCAGTGTTGATTCCTATGTTCATACTAATTATTTTTATATGATTTGGTTGTCTTTGGCATTCCTCACTTAAAAGATTCATCTGGTGGTTTGTAGATGATAATAATTCTTTTTTTTTTTTTTTGTGTGTGTATATATATATATATATATATATATAATCCCCCCCCATTAAGAACACAAATTTATAGAACAAAGTGTTAGTATCTTTCTCTTGAGAAATTTTCTGCTGACATTAAAAATTAATCTATTTTTGACCTCAGAGGGGGAGCCTCAATGGACCAAAATACAGCTTATTTCTTTCCTGTTTATATACTTCTCAATTTTGATGCTCAATTTATTAAACTAGAATAAATAACTTCTGATAGAAAACTGGTAAAAGGGAATAGAAATAGTTTAAGAGAAAAAAATTGCAATCAAAATTAAAGAAAATTTTTGGATTACTATTGATGGAGTCACTGAGAGATTGGCAACTGATTCTATGGACTGCGTTTAAACACTCAGTCAGTCAGTTATGTGCCATGCGTGATACACGTTTAGGCGATCATGTATCTTTTGATACATGATTGACGAGGCAGATTTTTTTCCCCGCAGTAGGTTGCCATTTCTTTCTGCGGTAGGCCAGTTGACATCCAAAGCTATAGAACCCGATCTGTCCTGCTATTTACCCATAGCTGAAGGAAGAAGAGGAGTATTCATATACCTTTCCCAAGGGTATTGCATGTAAGTTAATGTAATGGATTCGTTAACTTCTACATTGATTAATATAACTTTAAAAAAGCTGTATATTTGGTATTGGTAGAGTAGGTATGGCCAGAAGAGAATAAAGTTTGTTAGATAAAGACCATTAACACCTATCTAATGTAAAAATATTTTTTGATTATCTTTTTGTTCAGGTCTGTTTTGAATATATGAAAATTACTTTAAATTTTTAAAAAAGTTTAATCACTTTTACATTGTAAAAAGTCTATAATATATATATATATATATATATATATATATATATATATATATATATATATATATGGTACTCTATGTAATTTTTAATCTGCTGATAAAATGCATTGTTGCCTTTCAGCTGGAAGGGAGCGATCGATCTGGCAGTAACCAATCCCTGAGGCATGTTCAGTTGACTACGAACCGACCGCCAACTGAGACCAATGCGAATACCAGCCAGTCACCTAATCGTGTCACAAGGAGTCAGTCTGCAACCAGTCAAAAGCCTCCACGGCGCTACAGCCATGGAGGTAATTTCCATTGGACTCTTTTTTACTTTTCTCCCTGTTTCTTCTATTCTTTTTCAGTATTTACCATAACTTTTTTTAAAATATTTATGGAACTGATTCAATGATTGGTTGTATTATGTGTGCAAATTGTTATTCATTGCTGCAAGACACTTCTCAGTTTCTTGAGTGAGGCAGTCATCAAGCATAAACTTGGAATTCTGTCATAATACTCCTGCTAGCAGCAAGTAGGAAAGCCTTTATAAATTTAACATGTTTCACTTTTTATTTAGCTTCATCAGAAATTTTGAAATGGAAAAAAACTGGAGTTGTTTGGATTTTTAAATTCTATATAGTTTTCCTTAGTTGTATAGTTATGTGTTCATTTTATGGCATTAGTTTGTGTAAGCGTCAAATTATGCTAAAATCTCAAGAATCACACACACACACGCACATAAAATAAGCTTGTGATGCTCACAAAATAAACATACTGTCATAATCAACACATTTACACAAGCAATGAATACAAATCAACATAGAATTATAAAATTAAAATAACTGCATTGTTCTGCTTCTAAACTTTCTGATGAAGATTGAGAAACATGTTTAATTTATAAAGGTTTTTCTACTTATTTAATCAGATTTTGTCACATTTAATCCATATTTTCAACTTGTGTGTGTGTATGCACACACATACACAGGATACCTGGTGCTGCACTCAATTTGGTGAATATTTATGAGGTAAATAGAGGCTCCATTGTAATTGTGCTTATAATTCGTTTAGGCAGAATATTTTTCTTTGATAGAAAAATTCAAGATTGAAACATAAATGGCTTATTGAAAACAAATGGTTATGGGCGTTTGGAAGTATGTGGTTCCCTTGAAATTGATTTTTATCAGGTTTTCACCAATTTTTGACGCTATTGTTTTTTCACTCAGAACTACTGTTAACTTCTTTAATGGAGATATTTAATGGAGTTTAGCTATGAAAAACATTGGATTTTGTTAATGTCAATTCCTTTTTAGGTTTAATTATACCCTATACCAGTTGCTTACATGCAAAAGATTTGGGATGTCACTTGAATTTTTACATGATACATTATGTAAATAGTTTATCATTTATTACTTGAACAAAACTTTGGAAAAAATTTTAATTGGAATTCTGATTGAATTAAAATTTTTGCACTTTTGCGAGGATTCATTTAACTTGTATATAATTTGGTAAGTCTGCATGACCTTGAATGTTTATCAATATCTTGGCAAACTTGGACCCACAAAAAATGGAGTGTCAAAGGAACAGTTCTTCCCTTGACATTGCTATTATATTTACCTTCACTCCTTGGAAATGTTTGTTTTTCAAGTGATGATTAGAATTGTACTAAAACCTAATATAAGTGAATTTATACATATTCTTTGTTGAGAACTGACAATAAAAATAAACAAACACTATATTTATTTATTAGATTGTTTATTTACACTGTTTATTGGAATAGTTGGCAAAACATTAGCTAATCTTAATAATTTAATGTTTATAAATTTATGAATAAAAATTTTCATATTTATTTCTTTATAAATTGGTAAATGATAAATATTGTATTGCATTAGTTTTTAGAATTTTCTAAATGATCTAATAAATAGCATTTAATATTTTGTAAATCTGCAGGAACAACAAAAGGTATAAATTCATTTTCATCATGTTTTAGGTTTTATCACAATTCTAATCATCACTTTTTAAAACAAACATTGCTGAGGAGTGAAGGTAATAAGAGTAAAAATGGTGTCAATGGAAAAGTTGTCTTTTTGACACGGTTTTTCTGTGGGCACTAAGGTCCAAGTTGCCAATATCTTTTACTTTTGAGGGGGATTTCCCTTAAGACCCTTTTTCACTGTATGCAACACATTTTGATATCTATTTTCATGCCAAGTTTAATTCCATCTACTCTAAAATCAACGAAGCACTGCTCAGAAATGCATTTCAAACACAGAAATCACTTTGATTTCTATTCTTAATTACTTTGTTTGAAACTGATTTCTATGCTTTTTTTCATCAGTTTTTGACTGAGTACTGTCATCCTTATTAGGTTTTGTTGTATTGTCTCTATGATCTCAGAATTCAACCTGACAAGTGAATTCTTGTGTGTTTCTGGCATTCTGGATGAAAAGTTTTAAGCGACATATTTTGACAATATTTGAATAATCCATGTCAATTTGTATTAGAAATAAATAGTAATAAATTCACAAATATATAATAGATATAATAATAAATAAGCAAATAATTTAATCATTTATACCAGGTGTTGAGCAATCATCTCTTGTGTATTATTTCTGAATTAAATTTTATGTTGATAGATATTATCTTGTATGTACAATATCAGTTTTATTATTCTATATCATAAGCATTGTAAGATTTTGGATTATCTTGGCAAAATGAAGCTTTATTAACATTGAGTCTACCAACTTATATCAAATTGCTGAATACATCTATCACCTGTGTCTTTCTCCAAGTTTGCCTATTTACTATCTTACATTTGTCCCCAAAGTATTAGGCATATGCAAAAGGTTAATTTTTGAAAACTAGAGACTTGAATATACAATAGAAAACATTATTTTTTCTTAAAATAGTTCTGAAAACTTTTTATATGTACCTAATGTCAGAAACTAAAATGGTTAGTTTCTCAAAATAATTTTTTCTTTTTTTCCTTAATGTACAGGTCCTGCAGGCCCAGGTAGTGCTACTTCTTCTTCACAACCCCAGTCCTCAAGCTCACATCCGCCAAGGAGGCAAAACACCATTGATACAAATACTACAAAGGAAAGCACATTGAGTTCTCGGATGAAAACACCTTCTGGCGGGAACATGCCTTTGGAGTCTCCTAAGGTTTGTTAACTGTTTTAGTGGATTTATATTTTGTTGTCTGGAAAAACATACTAATTTTTTTTTCTCTTTTTACCTAACCTCATTGTTTCCACCAAAGTTTGCCAGACAGAAATCAGTACTGATCAAGATTCTCTTCAGCATTTGCTGCGGATTAGTTTTCTATTCTTTCTTAATTACATAAAAAAAAAAAAATTGAATTTTTCGTTCAATCTATTTTGTTATTTTTCACAAGATTTAAAATAAGACCGCCCCTTTTTTTTATAAAAGCTAAAATTAATCAGAGCATTTTTAAAATGTTTATTCTTGAAATCTCAAGGTTTACAAATTTCATAATTTGATACTTTCTTTTATCAGTTTATACAAAATTTTGATTTTCATATCGGTAAAAAAAAAAAAAAAAAAAAAAAATTGGTTTACTTTGGGCATTACCATTAATTTATTTTATCAAGTTTTCAAGTTAATATCACAAGTAATAAAAAATTTCTTTTACTGTATCATGTATAGTAATACTTATGCAAGTTTTTAATTTCATTCTAGGTTTTTACAAGATTTAAAATAATCGGAAAACATCTTTTTAGATAATTTAACCAAATTGTAATTTTTTTTTTTTTTTCATAAAAAAACATTCAGTTCTATATGCCTAATTTTACAATATTTTTTTTCATAAAAAGCTACAACTTAGTAAAAGCAAAAAATAAAACAAACTTTACAACCTAAGGAATGTATGAAATGAGTGTATTGAAATGTTCTGTTAAATTTATTATTCTGTATAGATCAGTGCAAGTCCTGCCAGAGTATCTGTACCAAAGAAACCTAGTGGACCTTCTTCTACAACCCCAAAGAACAATGTTGTAGGTGGTTCTTCACTTACTCGAAGGAGTACCTTCGGGCCTGGAGATAATAAAGCCAGTATAGAAAAAAGTAGGACAACTAATGGTCAAGATTACCGGAGGTAAGTTCAGACTTTTAGTTTAGAGAGTTAAATTCTCTTTAATGTCAAGTTATCTGCCCTTTGTAGTCATTTGTTAAGCAAGTGATATCTTCAGATGGAAGAAAAGAATTCTGATTGGGAGGATTCAGTTTAAAATGTATGTTCAGTATTTTATCTGGATCTGTTTTATATTGATGAGGAATTAATTTTTACCAGTTAAAGTCAATAACTTAGTGTGGGGGTGGACCAATAAACCGTTCATTCATCTTTGTCTTAGTCTTTTTAAATAAACTTACATATAAATAAAAGATTATTTTAGCCTTTTTATGTGTGTTTGTGAAAATGTGTTTGAAGTTTTTCTTTTTCCTTTGCCAAAAAAAGTTCAAAATATTAGTTTGAGATTAAATTTTGTTTTCTATACATTACCAAGACTGTTACTCAAAAAAACATGAAATAAATATTTCTTTTGTTTATAGAACTAGAAGAGAAACTGCTTAGTAATAACAAGTTTAATCTAAAATTTGTGCAGCATTTTTTTGTATATGATGTAAACTTTAAAAAAAAAAAAAAATACATGACAATTTATTTTCAGTATTTCTTAAAGAACTAATAAATATCAGTATATGGGTGATATAACAAGTACTTCTCCATTTATGAAATATTTTATTTCAGTAAAAAGTGTTTAGTGTCTGTGTGGATTTAGCTATCATACAAATTCAATTCCTAATATAACTTTGTACTATTACTATATTTTGTAGCTGTATAAATGTGAATATTGAACAATTTATTTGAGATTTGAGTAATTGGAGAATTTACATAAGAATTTTACAAAGAACAGTTTTTGATGAATTTTCTTGTTTTGTATGAGATAAAATAATAGATTGAATTCAGTGGAACTCTTAGACTTGTGTGGATGTGGGTAAATATTTTTTTTCTCTATATATAAAGGAAAAGCATTTGAAAGATATCTTCTATTTTGTGTGTGAATCTTATTCAGTTCATTTTACCCCAAGATATGTGTACAAAATAAGCTAATTGTTCTCATTGGTTTATGGCTATGATTCCTTCTAATGACTTAACAAATTTCTCTTGAGCTTTCTGCAGTAATGGCGGCATAAGTTGGAAGAGATCATTTACTATTTACTTAAATTGGCATTTTAGCTTGAATTGCTTTCACAGACTTGCTTGTTTGATTGGTTTTGGCCAACTAACTAGCTCAAAATAAAAGGAACAAATACTTGAATTATTCTTATAAAATACAAAATCTTTAGATTAGTTAACTTTTTTTTTATCTGTTGTGCTTTGGAATCATGTTTGTCCTTCAATATAGTATTAAATCTAAAAATATTTAGAGAGAGTTCTTTTATATAAAAGCAATTCAGCAAAATGACAACTGCTCGATACAATATATCTACAAGAGTTCTATCCAGAATTTCTTTATTGCTTGTACAAGTGGTTAAAAATTCATGAATTATCAATAAGGACAAATAATACTTTTCAGTTAACATCCATGATTAAGAATGAGAATTTTTTAGTTAAAAAAATTCTGTGTGTATATATATATATATATATATATATATATATATATATATATATATTATATATATTTTTTTTTTGAATGTTCTTGTCATGTACAAAATGTCTGCCTTTACTCTACTAGCTATCAAAAATAACAAAAAAGACCTTTTGAGTTCCAAATAGATGGGTTAGGATTTTTTGAGAAAAACCCACCTGGGGTGTCTTTATTACAGACCCCCTTTTTATTAAAGACCTAAATGAAATGCTTTGCTTTGTCCTACAATACTCACACACAGCCCAAATTAAGAGGTGTGAGGAAATTTCCTGGATATTTAATAAAAGGGATGGTTGATAAATGTTGTGGGGGGATTGTTCTAAAAAAAAAAAAAAAAAAAATCTATTTGAGACTCAAATGTAATGAAATTAAAATCTTATAGAAATAACATGCAATCAGTTCTATCAAATTTAATAAGATGTCTGCAAAATATTATAAAAGTCATCCTTGTATTTGTTAAAATAACAGCTGATAAATAAATTTATTTCTTCAGACAATTTTTACATAGTCCAGCTGCTTGTTTGAAATATATATCTATATACAGTAGTGAATGCTGAAAAATTGACCTAAGAAGCCTTTCAATAACAAAAGAAAAAAAAATTAAAAATTTGTTTTGTCTCTCTCTCACACACACACACACACACACACACACTATATTAATGAATTTTTATTTCATATTTCATTTACTGTATAAATGTGATGCAAGTCTCTAACTTCCACAGTCCTCAGCTAAAGAGTACTATTACTAACTTGCAGTATGATAATCGCCTTGCTTCATGGAGATGCCTGACTTTCAATCTTTCTTTTTTCTCTTTCTAACTTCCTCAAAGATTCTTGGAATCTTTTGAAGCTCTGATAGAGCCTAACTGAAGTTCCTCTTTGCATCCAAATTTTCCTTCTATTGATATGAAAATGCTGATGAAAAACTCTTAGAAAAACTTTTGCAAATGCCTGTACCCTATCTTCTGTAGAAGAATATTCTTTCCAAATATTTCACTTAATGGGATATGCCAGTGCATTTTAAATAAAGATCAGTCCTGTATACACAACTGGAGTATGGAATTGATAAATTCCTTCAGCCCAACAAAGAATCTTTGTTATAAAAAATTCCCAATAAATGTTCTTTTCATATACATCTCGATTATTTAAAAAAAAAAATTCCACACAAAATTCCAATGTTTTATTTTATGGACCTGAATGCAAGTAAAGAAAAAGATTGACCATCTGAATTTTTGGACAACATAATGAGTGTATATGCACATGAATAATTTCAGTGATTATAATTCAGGTTTCCTGTTCATTGAAGCCTTAAAAAAATAAGTGCAATAAATTTGCTAAGATGGGGCTGCATAATTATTTTTGCTGCCAGTTGAATTATTGGTTACAGGAAGTGAAAGGAAGAAAAATAAAAAGGCAAAATGCTTCTGTTGTCCAAGGAAATCTCTGCAAATAATTTACTATTACGGCCTTTGAGTTAGATGTATATCTTCTTTATCGAGACTGGGCTTTTAAAAAGTTCCTTGGATTGGATACCTACCTGAGTATTAACTCAAAAGAGGTATGACTTCAAACTTTAAAGTTGCTGGCCAAATATAAATTCATCAGTGTTCAACAAATTAAACCTAATTGGCGAGTTGTTTAATGATAAACAAGAAATGGACAAAAATCTATGATCAACAAATGGAGACAAAAGGAAATTAAAGAGTTGCAGTCAACCCATTCATTGTGAACTGCTTGCACTCATGGCTGTGTGTCTCCTCTTATTAATGCCTGTCACTATGAACCTGAGAATGTGAATTTTCTCTTACAGCCATATACCAAATTCTACTTCAAATACATCTTCAGAACCCCCATCAGCAAGGCCTAAAGGTCATGTAAAGTCAGCAAGCACATCACAATCATCACGAGTCACAGATTTGCCACCTATTAGCTCAGAATCATCTGACACCTATAGGCCAACGTAAGTACAGATTGCTGCTGCTGCTGCTGTACACTGTTAGACTAGCTAGTTCCTTGGTTATATTGCAATATATATCTTTTAGCTGGTCTTTGTTGGATTTTATCTGCTTATTTTCTTTTCCACTACTACTACTACTACCACCTCTGCTCAAGTTCATAGTTTCCTCTTATCCCTGCTTGCTTTTTTTTTCTCCCCATTCCTCCCTTTTGCATGACCTTTTCCTGTTATTGTTGTTCACTACCTGTGTTTTGGGCTTTCTTTGCTTGCTTTACTTGTGTATTTTTTCATTAATTACTTTTGATTTAGATTTTTTTTTCTTTTTCTATGTCAGTGTGTATCAAGCTTTGCTTTCAGTGTTAACTTTGTTCACAATTTGTTCCATCTGAGGTTATATCACACTACCTAATTTGAAAAATGATTGTTACTACTCAATGTATATTTGCTGATGCTCGCCTTCTGTTTTATTTTATCCTAAAAAATAATAGTTATTGTAAAAACTTTGTCTAGAATTATATAGCCTATTCTTAGATTGAAATTGATTGTTTTTTGTTTGTTTGTTTTTTTTTTTTTTTTTCTCCTTGTGTATTTTTATAATTTAAATATTCTCTTAAGCTGCATGTATTTCAGTTTTATTGATAATATAACACTTTGAAAATTGAATCTACTGTTTGGGACTATTTATAAATGTATTAACCATAACTGTCTTTTATCAGTAAAATCTTGCATGCTTATGTTACATGACTAACTTTTGTTTTTTTTTTTTCTCTCAAATGTTAGAATATTAAAAAAAAAAAGCTTATATTTGTATAAAAAAAAAAAAATTTAATGCTAAAAAGTTTAGAAAAGATTTATGCATATAGGAGCAGAAATTTGCAAAATCTTTTAATTGTTAGACATCTCTGAGTACATATCTTTAGTACAATGTAAAGTGTGTACAAAACATCAGTCACTTTTGGCTGTTTCAAAAACAGGCATGTTTTATATACAGTTGACTTTTGGTATTGGTTCCTGGATTCACTGTGAATACTAAAATCAGTACCTGTTCAAGTTTCTTATGTAAAATGGTGTTGTATTTGCATATAATTTCTGCACATACTCTCATAAATATGGCATCAACTTATAATACAATGTACATGCTATGTTGGTCTGCAAAAAAACTTCTGTAGGAAATTAATACTTGTGTAATTTAAAAAAAAAAAAAATTCAAACTTGTTTTAAAGTAAATTTACTATTAATACTAAAACTTGAGGAAAAAATTTTGGACACTATTTGTGGTGAAAAGCAATGGTAGTTTTAAAACCTGAAACCTTTTTTTACAAATCTATAACAGACAACCCTTTGGATTTTGATTCAATCAACTGTAGCCCAAAAACATGTCAGAAGAAAATATTCCACAAAAGCAAAACTTAAGTTTTACATGCACCATCCTGAATCTACACAAATGAAGTATTTTTTAATTTTTTTTTTTTTTTTTTTTTTTTTTTGTTATGTAAACATGTTGGGTTTTGATTTGATGTTTTAACAATTTATATTCAAATTGGATTCTTGTCTGTTTTTGCTTGAATCTCTATACCAAAGCATTATTTTTATTTATCTAATCTACTTGATCAGTTCAAAATCAGTCTAAATCTGAGGATATAGGCTATGAGCATAATGCATGTCAATTTTTTCAAATATATATATATATATATATATTCCAAAACTACTTTTAAAAAAATTTTTTTGTAAGTTATTTAGTTTTTATTCCATTAATGTTTTTTTTTCTGCTCTAGACTGTTTTGATTTTGCTTGGCAAATCAAACAGATAAACTGAATACCTTGCAGATTGTAGACTTAAAATGATGGGAACTGTGAAGGAGGGGGAAGTAATCAGTGAATATGATATGCTTTTTTAAAAGGGTAAACTTTTTTTTTTTCCATCTTTTATTAAAGATTTAAAAAAAATATCATCTCAGAAAATAAAGGATTTTTCTCTTGTTTTTTGTCTGTCATGTGCATTCACATGAAAAGTGGCTTAATCTAAAAACAAATGTAGAAAAGTCATATCGACATTATACTTTTGTCAATAGAAGATAGCTTTATTATACTTCCACACTTAATTTACAACATTAACCATGATTTGTAAATTTTTATAAAAAAAAGTCAAATAATAGTATTGTCCATTTTTAGCTTAGTTGAAAGGAAATTCTGGAAGAAAAATGCTGAAAACCAGTTTGAGTTGAAGTAGTCTGCTTTATCTAGAATCGTCTTAATTCTTACAGTATTACATTTTTCTCTGCAGTAATTAATCTTACTATAGATTGGGGCAATTTTTTTTTTAATAGGAAAAATATATATATATATAAGCAAATCCTTTTGAAATGTATGTGAACTTATATTTAGTACACATGTGAACTAAATTTTGTTGCAACACAAGTTTACACTGCTGATTTTTTTTTTTTTCCCCCCCCCTGTTTAAAGCAGTTAATGCTTTCCACTACTTATGAATTTCAATAGATTGTGATAAAAATAACAAAATACAGGTTTATCAGCTTGCTTCTGATTTGTTTGTTGCATTTATCATCTCGCTTACTAAGTGTTTGGCCTTTTCAATTTCTTGTGTTCTTGAGTATTGAACATTTTGGATTGATTAACTTTAAAATCAGTTCTTAACAACTCTACTTCTCTTATAAGTGTAACAGTTAATGTTAAATTCTTATTTGCTTACACTTCAGACTTTAGAATATTACAAGGCAGTCAATAACTAAAAATAATATAATCCTGTTGAATTGGCATTTTATTTTTTTTATTTAAAATCATATTCCTTTAGCATATTCTGAAATTGTAAGATATGAAATTCCCTCCCTTTTTTTTGTCTTTCATTTTTGCATTGTTTTGTTTTTTCTTTCAGAACGGCTCCAGGGAAACCTTCTGCACCTGTATCCCCTGCTGTGAAGGCCCCCCTGTTCCGAGGCACAGCAGGTCGCAATACATTCCATGGGGGCCACATAAGAGACCGGCGGCAGCAAACACTTAATCAATACAACGGCCCAGGACCTGTTCCTGGCCATACTCAGGACACTACTGCAGCCGGACAAGCAGCTCGAATGTCTTTCCTGAACAAATTAACTTCGAAATTTAGTCGAAGGTAAGTGATATAGGGAATTAATGTCAATTTACTGCTACTGCATCCATACAGGGAAAGTCTGGCTGGATTTGACTGATGATCTGGAACAATCCTCCACAGTTTGAAATCCCCCCCCCCCATTTTTTCCCCCCTTTTCCTTTCCCTTCCCCCCCCCTTTTCCTCCCCTTTTTTTTTCCCCTCTTTTTTTTTTTTTTTTTTTTTTTCACCCACTTTTTTTTTTTTTTTCCTAATTGGTTGAATGGTCAGTCACTACTTTGCTGTGACTGAGAAAGGTTTTATCTGGTCACTATGTGACTGCTTTGTGACCCTTAGACATTTTTTTATTAGTGACTACTGGGCTTTAGCCGGTACTGTTCATAAAGGCTTTGTACTAAGAACAATAAAGAATTTTTAAAATTACTACCTGTTATCTTATCGTAGTTTATCATTTTTCTGTTTGTGTAGTGTAGCATAGTATTGCAGATTTGAGCAAAAATGGAAAAAAAAAAAAATATCCAGTAACTTGATGTCAGTCCATGCATGCTGGCAATCCTGTCTTCTTTAACAATTTGCACTGCTCCTCAGCATTGATTAAAATCCTCTTGCAAATGCTTTCATCTATTAAAAGCATATTTTGATGATTTACACCTTGTATAGTCCTGTTTATACTACCAGATTCCATATGTAACTATGCTTCTCTCACCAACTCCTTTCATTTTGATTTTTCTTTGAAGCTTAAAATGATGCATTTTTTCTCCCTAAATCTGTTTGAAATTTTTTTTAAAGATTTCTCTAGCATAATTCTCTCCCTGCTGTCCCTTCCTTTGCCTTTTGTCAGTTGTTGCTTTTGCTTTTTTTAATTCTCTATTGCTTATTTAAAAAAACAAAAAAAAAAAAATAAACAAAAAACCAAAATAACTTAAATTCAAGTCACTTCTATGGATTAATTCTTGAGCCCTATATGTAACCTGCAACTTGGTTGCTTTGCCTGTCTGCTTTCATTCCTCAGGTGCTTAAATCTCTATGTAATTTACTTTATAGGCTTAATTACTCCAGGAAAAATTCTATTGTGGCTTTTATTTCAGAAAACATTTTGATAGATTTTTCTAATAAGATTAACTCTGCTTGACTTGTATATAAATTGAGATTTTTAAAAATGATAGTCTCAACTTGTATCTAGTATTTAACAAAATTCAAATATTCTTTTAATAAAATATCCAGAAAATAATTACACTTAAATCATTTAAAGGTTAGTTGATGGCTACTAACACTGTATGTACATGTGTGAGTGTGTATTCTGTTTGACCAAAATGTCAGGCTTTTTTTTTTTTTTTTTTGTCAGTTTAAGACTATTTTCGGGTGCTGCCTCATTGAAGCTTATCTAACAACTTATTGTTTCTCTCACACTAATGCTTATCAAATATACAAAGCAAATGTAAAGTATTTGGACATTAAGGTTTACTTAAATGTAATGTCTTGTGTTTTTCAAATTGAAGCAAGCAAGTTATTTTCATTTTATTTTTCTGTATGCCAACCTGATTGCAGAAAATTTGAATGCACATTTTTTTAATTATCTTTATATAATTAACGGAATTCAAATATTTTGCTCAATTTTTGCAAGATATTGTTTATTTTTATTAAATATAGTTACTAAAAAGGTAGTTGGGAGCAAAAACAAATTTTTCAAGAAATGAGTAGTGAAGTAACCAAAATTAAAAAAAATTTTTTTTAACTCTTTAGTCTCACAGCACACAGGTTATACCAGTGAGATCATGTATTATACTGGTTACTCTGTTAAATACACAGTTAGGAACCTATAACTCATTTCTTAGTTTAGGTATTTACCTACAAGTAATTACTTTTTTTTTTCATTTTCTTTTCTATCTCTTTTTTTTTTTTTTTTTTTTTTGTTAGAATAACTAACATATACCATAGTTTTGAAAAAGTACATAATTTTTCTTTTTATATATATATATATATATATATATATATATATATATATATATATAAAGCATGTCATTCACCTTGCGAAGGCACATCTCACTACTATGTAGACAATCCCTACTCTCCTTATCACTGTTTTCCTTGTATAATTTGATTTGATCTTTGAATCTACCTGATTTGATATTATTTGATCTCTGGTGTGGCTAATTGATTATGGTTCTTTAACCTTGTCATGTCAGTCATAATTTTATTCATGCATGTCATGGCTTCTCAAGTTACAACTACATTTAAAAAAAGAAAAGGAAAGGAATTGGATGCTATATGGTTTAATGTAGTCACTTGTCCTTGTCCTGCACCCACCTTTCTAGTCTGTTAAATTATATTAATATCTTCATTATGAAATTTTATGTATAAGATATCTATGAATGATAATGAAAACTGATGTCAGATCTCTGGGAGTAACTTGTAATTTTTAGTAGCCAGTCCAATTTAAATTTAACAACTGTTGAATCACTTAACGATATTTCAGAGAGAGAAAAAAAAATGATATTTAGAACTCCTTTCTCTAAATTGTCACTTTATCTATAGAATTGTGTAAAATTCCTTTCCACCCTTCTAAAGAGAATAGTACTTTGATCATATACTGATCAATAAACTGAATTATCCATTAATGAATTGGCTAAGAATTTAAAATATCACTTACATTTTTATGAGTTACCTCCCTTGTGATTATTACTTTGTGTATATAAAACAGGAGTTAAATTTTTATTTAAAAGGATCTTTTGAAGTGTTTAAAAAAAATAATCAAATTTTGTATATGAAAATTGATTGGTGGGGGAAGACAAGTTTCACATTTACCAAAATTTATTTTCCCTTTACACTAGTTTATAGAATTTTTTTTGTGCATTTATCAAGGATTTATGTGATGTCACTGCTTATTTCATGTGCTGTTTACAGCAATATACAATTCTCAAAAATGCCAACTATGGACATTTTCATTCTGTATTAGTTATTTGGCAATTATATCTCATACACTTTTAATTTACATTAGAAAACCAAGTATTGCAACTTTCAAAACTACTATATTTTGAAAATGCCTGATTAAAGTCAAGATGAGAAATAGTTACCATGAAAGAATTACTTTCATTAAATTTACTGACAAATAAAAAAACTGCTTGATTTTGTTATCTTTGCAATATGCATGACTATATTCCCAAATTGACATCTCTGATCTACTGAGCATCTTGTCTATTAGGAAGAACTACTTCTAAATTCATAATCTCTAAGATTATCTAGCTTTATAAATCTCTTAAAAAAATTGATGCAATTGCCTTACTAAAAGTAATGTTCTGAGATAAATCTGATCCATGTTTTTGTGTTGTATATCACAAAAAGGCAGATATTTGAAACACTTAGCAGAAATCTTATGCAACTCACTGACAAGAATTGGGTTAGATCTATTCTAACAATTTGTTGCAGCTTTTCTACAAAACATTTCTACAATGAAAAAAAATAATTCCATAACTGGCAACAATTTCAGCGCCACTAAACCCAGTGATTATCTTGTTCCTTCTGTCTGCTTTCAACAACGTGTGACAATACCATCATTCATCAGCCATTATGCCTGCTCAAAGATGAATCAAGGTGTTGACTATTCTTTCCCAGCTTGGTAGCAATTTGTCTACTAGTGTGTATGTATGTGTGTATGTATGTATTTGCTTTGTGGAGATAGTGTACAGCTGTCTGTTTAAATAAAATCTTCAAATCTTCAGAGCATGATTGCTGTTTTAGATCACTTCAAGAAGCCCACCAACTGCTTTAATATTTGTAACTGGGCATTTATTTATTAATACACACTGCCTTTTTAGCTATATAATTTGTAAGTATTGGATTGTTATAATTTTTTAGTTATATTAAAGTAGTTATGTGCAAAGGCTTTACAAGTTATTTATTGAAATCTAGTGAAACTGGTGGACACATTTTTGTCTAGAAATGTATGTATGTCATGTCTTTCCCTCATAATTTCCTGAAATAAATGAAAACTACAGCAGTTTCATAACATAATAGGAAAGAAGTAAGAGAAATATTTAAAATCAGTACAGAAATATTGGGAGCTATTCATAATGTATCAGATAAGGAATCCTGAGAATTATGGTTGCTCTTTTCCAGCAATTCCTTCATCATATCAATATTTTTATAATGTAGTATTGGCTTAAAAATATAGAAATAATACAATTTACTTTGTGATTTGTAATTTATGATTTCTTATAATTATAGTAGAATAAATGTTTACATATATTTTTTTGTTATACACATAACCTAAAATATTGATTTTGATGTCAATTTTGAAAAGACATTGGGATCTTATTTTTTCATTTGTTTTAATCAGCTATATCAGTATCTTATTCCAAGGCTTTTCAGCAGAAAGGAAACTACAGTCAAAGAATAATTTTAAACTTAAACCTTAAATTTTATTTATAAAACATTATTTTAATGTAATAATCTGAGTCCCTTACTCTTATCACTTACACAACAACCACCTTCACTAACATTCTACCTTGAGTGGCCTCAGGGTAAAGAAAGAAAATGTGTATAAAAAAAAAAAATAGTCCAAGAATTTAAAATTCCATACTTCATCCTCACCTCTTGAAAAACATTACAATTTTATATTAAAAAAAAAAAAAATGAAGGATTTCTGTTTAAGTTAAAATGGTATCTTTGACATGTTAGCTTGGTAAGACAAAGGTTGCATTTATATTTTAACCCTAAAATCATGTGTGATCTTTAGAAGTAAATGATCATTACCAACTGATTGTTACAGAAATGTTAAACATTTTAATTTAAAAAAAAAAAAATTCACATTTTCGTGTTCCTTTACCATCGTCTCTACATACCAGGTATCATATTTTTACCCCCTTAGATTCAAATTTACGTTTTGTAGCTACACTTAAAAAAAAAAAAAGAAATCTCTTGCACTTTGTCATAGGATTTGAGTTTGTCACTCTCTATAAAAGGCAATCTTTACTGCTGAAGATTCCAATGATTTTTGGAGGAGAGCTTCTGTCACTGCTTTCAGGACAGAACTGGCCAACACATCTCATTTCTGCTTAATGATAACAAGCACGACCTATTAATCATCTCATTCGTTGATGTAGTATTTTCTTAGGTATGATTTCCTGGAATCAGGTATCATGGTTTGAGCCAGGCAAAGGCAGCTAGAAAGCTGAATGCTACGCACCTAACAAATTGAAGCAATTGATTTTACTTCCACAGTTGGATGTGGCACTCAGATTTGAGGTAAGTTTCTACTGCCTAGTCGCCATAAATATTTTTCTCTCAAATTACATATAATCATAGGTATTAATTTTCTTTAATTAAGACCTCATCTCATTCTTAAACCAGAATTATTCTTTGCTTTTATTTTTTCTCTCCTAAAATTAGAATAATTTTATTTTTCCTCCTTTCCTAAATTATAAACATAATTTTTATTAGCCTTACCCTTATATTTTTATAATGTAATCCTTTTTAAGTGATTCTAATAAATCACAAATCTTGTTCCAAAAATTGCTTAACTGTATGAAGTGACATTTTATTTTTTTCTATTGTTCTTATCAGATTAGCTGTTTGTGTGTGTGTATGTGTGTCTTTTAATTTTTTTTTTTTTTTTTTTTTCATAGTCTTAAATAAGGACACGGCAATTCCATTTTGGTATTCTAAGCATGTCTTGCTAATCAGAAATTCAATTACAAACATTCTCAACAAACCTTAACAAAAACCAAATTGTTTCTTTTGAAGTTTTGAGTTCATATTTTTGTACAAAAAACGTGCCTACTGCCTACTGATCAGCTGATGTTTTGTAGACTCTCTCGATGCCTAGAGAATCTGCTGCCTCTGCTTAAAAATCTTGTGCTCTTTGAATGATTGAATGATTTGACTGGTTCCTTTGATGGTTACTCATTTGTTTATTAGCTAACCATATAAACTACTACTAAATATTGTAAGTCTCCATATCAGCAACTTTGATTAACTCCTATGTTCTACTTCCTGAACAGGAGTAAATTGGGTCTTCGCCATTGTGAACTGAAGTAATATGAAGTCCTCACTCATAAGATGTCACTTTTGCTGTCACTTTTTTGTAAGTGTTAATGAGTGTATTTTCCACCAACCCTTTTCCTCTCCATTTCTCATCATTCATTTTCATCATTTCACTTGTGCTGCTGAATGAAAATTTAGTTTTGAATTTTTGCCAAGCTATTATTGACCTTATGTCAGTTTGTGTAATAGGCAAAACATTCCTTTGAACCTCCTATTCACCAGCATCCATATTTCAAAAAGACATTTGTGTGTGGTGGTGTTCTTTTTTCTTTTTTTCTTTTTTTTCTTTTTTTTTTTCTTCTTGTTTGTCTCTCTAAGATTAGTTCTAAGTAAAATTTTGTCATTTTATTGTAACAAAAAAAAAAAACAAGAAAAAACTCCTGCTTAGGTCAATTACACTTTTTTTTTTTTTTTTCAAATTTACATATAGGAAACAAGTGTTGAAGCTTTCAATTTTGTAACTGAAATATTTCTGAAATTTTGTTTCAGATCAATTTTTTTCTTTTCTAAAGATAATGTTGCTTTACCTCAAGTTTTTTTCTTTAATCTTTAAAAAAAACAAATAAAACAATCACTTTATCCAAGAAAATGTTCATCTGTTTTTTCTTTTTTTTCCCTTTCTTTCAAATGCTGTGAGTCCAAAATCCTTAAATTATTTTTTATTCATGTATCCATGAAGTACATGACTTAATAAAATTTCCCCTGCAATATTATGCTTTTTTTAAAGATTTATTTTTTGTTGGTTAGATTTGTGGCGACTAGGCATTTATTCAATCTCAAATCTGGACAAGACACATCATGGCATTCTAGGGTGGGGGGAAGCTTTTCTTGTTTGTAATATACACAAAATCAATGTTTCCCTTTTCTTTTTTCTTTCACTTCTTTTTTTTTTTTTTTTTTTTAAAAGGTTTCCAGTTTTTCCTTGACCTGCTTTGCATTTTATTTAGGCATAATGATAACTAAAAAATATTACATTTTAGTAATTAAGAAAAATCTATCTTTTATACTGTGTGTGTGTGTGTGTGTGTATATATATATATATATATATATATATATATATATATATATATATATATACACACACACACTAATGCTGCTATTAAAAAGAAACAAATGAATCAGTTTTAATGTTATTTGATTGGGATACAATTTTTGAAATGCTAATAGTTTTGAATCCCCAAAAAGTTAAATTAATTTATTATGCTTATCATTGCTGTCATTGACCTTTTTTTTTTTTTTCCTCTCCCCTCTCCTCATCAAATTTGAAATACAAAAAACTACAAACCTCAAATGAATTATTGGAAACAGCTGAATATCACCTTTTGAAAAATATTAAAATCAAACTAAACCAGAGCAAAATGTATGTGGGGTTGTGGCGGGGAGAAATTTTCATTTTTCCCTTCCAGGAATGCATTTTGTTTTACAGTTTTGATACTAGATCCTTTTTTAATCTAGTTGAGCATGAACATTTTTTCTCTTGAACATTTTAAATTGATTTTATTCAGATTAGCTTATTCAAAATATAATTAAAGTTTAAGAAAGTAATACTATGCTGTTTAACATTTCTGAGGGATAAGTTAGTGATGAATGCTTTATGTATATAATCATTTTTTTTTTTTTTTTTTTACTCTTTCTTAACCTAGTTCATTCAAACTTGTCTAAACAATCTGGATGTTATCTATGCATGCTGCTTATTTTGTCAGTTAATTTTAAGTTTATACTATGAGGTAGGATACATGAGATGTTTTTTTTATTATTATTTTAATATATTTCACATACTTTTATTATCCCACTCAAGCAATTCAGTTTTTTCTTTCTCTCTCACACTGCATAAAAAGTTTTCCTCTCTCCCATCGCGTCAAGTTTTTACTTATCAGCATAAAAATTTTTCCTTCTCACCTTACATAAATTATTTTCCTTTTCTCTCTCCTTGCATAAATTATTTTCCTTTTCTCTCTCCTTGCATAAATTATTTTCCTTTTCTCTCTCCTTGCATAAATTATTTTCCTTTTCTCTCTCCTTGCATAAATTATTTTCCTTTTCTCTCTCCTTGCATAAATTATTTTCCTTTTCTCTCTCCTTGCATAAATTATTTTCCTTTTCTCTCTCCTTGCATGAATTGTTTTCCTTTTCTCTCTCCTTGCATAAATTATTTTCCTTTTCTCTCTCCTTGCATAAATTATTTTCCTTTTCTCTCTCCTTGCATAAATTATTTTCCTTTTCTCTCTCCTTGCATAAATTATTTTCCTTTTCTCTCTCCTTGCGTGAATTGTTTTCCTTTTCTCTCTCCTTGCGTGAATTGTTTTCCTTTTCTCTCTCCTTGCGTGAATTGTTTTCCTTTTCTCTCTCCTTGCGTGAATTGTTTTCCTTTTCTCTCTCCTTGCGTGAATTGTTTTCCTTTTCTCTCTCCTTGCGTGAATTGTTTTCCTTTTTCTCTCTCCTTGCGTGGTTGTTTTCCTTTTCTCTCTCCTTGCGTGAATTGTTTTCCTCCTCTCTCTCTCTCTCTCTCCTTGGTGGTTGTTTTCCTCCTCTCTCTCTCTCTCCTTGCGTGGTGTTTTCTCCTCTCTCTCTCTCCTTGCGTGGTGTTTTCCTCCTCTCTCTCTCTCTCCTTGCGTGGTGTTTTCCTCCTCTCTCTCTCTCTCCCTTAA